GATTCATCACCAGCAAAGATCTCAGGAGCAGGTGTGCATGAGGGAATTTCGGGGTCACAGCGGGTAATCCGGTCTGGCCAGGCTGAAGCAGGTGACCCGACTGTCCGCCTGATCCTGAGCTACTGGATAAGGAGATTAATCTAAATCTGTCTGAGGATAGCACGGCTCTTTAAGAGAGCCTGGGACCCAGAACCTGAGGGCTGAACTCAGGGACTTCATGCTAAGTCCCCAGCCCTCTGCCTGTGTGGCTCAGACATCCTCAATCAGTTCCTTGGGAAAACTGCCATGTGGTGGAGCCATGGTGGGGGTGGGAAACACAGAGCCCGGGGGACCTGGGAGGAATGGAAAGAGAATATTGCAGGGGGACTGAGGTGAACTGGGGAGTCTCCCAGCTCAAAGGCGGCAGGAAGACCCGGCACCCGCTGATGGTCACTGGGTTTGGACTCCGGCTTTGCTCCTTATATCTGTGCCACCGTGAACCTGTCTTGTGGCTGAGGGGTCTCGTTATCTCTGTCGTACGGATGAGGAAACTGTGGCTCAGAGGAAGCCTGGTGGCTTGCTCAAGGGCACAGCTTGCTACCCCAGGAACTGCTCGGGGGCCAGGACTAGGCAAGTGGAGAATGCAGGGTCCAGGGCGGGGCGCTGGCCTCACCTCAGAGACCTGCTCTGTGGGCGGGAGCTAAGTCCCCCTCCTGCTCGAGGCCTGGGTCTCCCCTGAGACCTGGGAAACGTCCTGCGGCCTTTCCCATGGAGCGGGGGGATGGGCAGGTCGGAGTGAGGGAGCCCCCTCTGTCTGTCCCCTGGCTGAGACCTCCAGGAGCCCCCTCCCTGTGCCTTGAAGGGGCACCTGCGATTTGCTGAATCGGGGAATTTCCTGTGTCATTGGAAGCCGGTGATGAGGGTGGCTGGGTCCTCCGGGACACCAGCGAAGGCCACCTCCATTGTCCCTCGGGCTCCTGTCAGGCCCTTTGGTTACAGGATCAGCAGCCTCGCTCTCACCCTGGAGCACCGTCAGGGCTTCCTGTTAGAGATGCGACCCTCCCCCTTGTGCCTGGACCTCCTTGTCTATAAAATGGGACAGGGACGGAGCCCCTCCTGCAGTTGCCGAGGGCTGGGTGAGTGCCAGACCCCCAGCGTCCCTGGGCAGCCTGCGACTCTCCTCGGCCTCCCCTGTCCCCACCACGTGCGCTGACTCTATTAAGTTATTCTGTTAAGATGACTGATGTGGTTTCCGTTTTCCTGCCAGAACCACTGACTGGTGCGCTCCAGGCCCCCACGGAGCCGCAGGTGCCTCTGGGACCCAGGGTGAAGGCCACCAGGGACCTGAAAACTGCGTCACCACGGGGCAGGAACGGCTCTGCTCATGCAAACTGGTTCTTAGCAGTTCTTTCCAGAAGTGATAGTGTCCTCCGTCCACGTTTCCTCAACCAAAGTCGGTCCCTCAACCACTCCTGAGTTCAGTAAGGAATGGGCCGTGAATACCACTGACCAACAGAAGGACCGGTGTCTTTGGAAAGATACAGAAGCGGTATCTGCTCTCTTCTTAACAGTCAACCCTAATGAGGTCCCTGATTAGATTTTCCCGGACAATAAAATCCAGCAAGTTATTGAGCATTTGCTTTGTGCTGGCCTAAGCACCCGTTTTCAGAGAACCCGTGTGGTAGGCAGCTCTTACCCTTGGTTTTTAGAAAAGAAACAGACGCTCAGAAAGGACCCCTGACCCTCTTGACTACCAAGCTGTGAGAGGCAGGGCAGAGATTTGCACTGAGGCGTCAGATTCGGAAAACCCGTTTCCTTGCAGCCACGCTCCGTGACTGTCTCTTTCTCCTCTTATTCCAGAAACCCAAGAGTGAGGAAAAGCTGGTACTTAAGCAGCTCAGCCCTTGACCTGGCAAACCCCACCCTGCTCTCAGGGCAGCAGGGGTTGTGCCGCGTGGCCCAGTCTGGAACTCGGCAACCCCGAGACCTGTCCAGGATTCCGTTGCCCACTGTCCACCTCTAGACTTGGCCAGAGCTACCTCCACCCTGCACTGGGCTCAAGACCAGCCTGGCTCAGGATTCTGCCTATGAGCTCTCCAGGCCTGGGGAGAGAAGGTGGAGGGTCCTAGTCCCCTCATTTTAGCTCTTCCAGAAGGGGACACCTCAACCTATGGCAGACACCTGACTGTTCTTATGGCAATAGCCATCTGAGTCTCAGACATCAGTTTCCCCAACTAGGACACAAGTCGGAGAGACTCTGCTGTATTTTGATACAATAATAATGGCAGCAGCTGCCTGGGGGCCCTAGGCACCGGGCTCTGTGGTCAGTGCCTGTTGTGATTTCTTTCATCGGATATGACGTGACTCAGGCACAGTGACTGTCGTGGAGGAAGGACTTTACACCTGCCGGTTCCCAGAAATGGGGCTCTGCACGCCAAGCAGGGCCATGCAGAGGAGCCTGGGGAGGGGGGTCAGGAGGCAGCGGGTGGGGGAGGTGTCACCGAGTCTTCTTGTGGCTTCCACAGGAAGGAACAGGTGGGCGAGGCAGGGCAGCAGGCCAAAGAGGCTTCGGATTGGCTGGTCTGTGAGCTTCCGGCGGGATCTGGGATATGGGTACTGCAGAGTTCTCTGGCACGGGCACTGGGCTGTCTGGGGCAGGGGCGAGTGGGCTGGAGCGTGAGGGCCCATGGCAGGGGTCCTTGGGGGCAGGAGCTCTGGACTGGTTGGTTTGCATCTGAAAGGTATGCTTACAGGTGAGCTGTCTGTTTTCTCTAGAAATAAGCTAATCCTGGGGGTAGTCCTTTCCAGTGTCCCTAAGTCGCCAGGGTGTGAAAGCATTTGAACAAAAAGACATAGTGGGCAGTGTCCTTCCAGTATCATTTTCTCCATATTTGAAATCAATCTGCTGAATCCGCTGGAGTGAAGATTGGCCACCAGGGGCAGAAGGAGGGCTTAACAGAGGCTTAAGAAATAAGAAGTCTTGAGATGGAAGTTTTCAGGTTCCCTTTATCAACTCGTGGCACCATCCAGGTCCCGGATCTTTACCCTCTTTCGCTTTTCTCTGCTCAGCACATTGCGAGCTTGAGACTACACACTACTCTATATAGTGCCAAGAAGGCTGCTGTCGCTCCAGACATCAACACCGTAGACAAAAAAGGGTCCCAACAAAAGATTACAGTGTTTCAGTAGTCAGTTGCTGTGGAGCCAACTGAGCCACAACTATGTGGCTGAAAAGTACCACAGTTATTATTTTGCCTTTCTTTGTGTTGATGTGAGTACAGCTACGTGGCTTTTCTGTTCCACGTGGCACTGGCTGCAACTGTTCCTTGAATCGCATGCAGCTGGCAGCTGCGCTAGGCTGGAAGGCTCCAGAAGGTTCCATTGCCTGTCTAGGCCCTTGATGCACCTGAGTGTCTTCCCCTGTTTAGCTCAGGCTTCCTCACAGCTGGTGGTCTCCAGGTAGTCAGCTGCCATTCACAGTGACCAGCCAGTCCTCCTTAAGACCTAGACCTGCAGCTGGACCTCATTACTCCTTGGTAAAAGCAAGTCACAAGGGAGGAGACGCGGAGTCCACCTCTTGGTGTGTGGAGCTGCAGGCTGTGGTTAAGGTTTAACTCATCAAGTGGACATTGTCCAAACCCTTCCTGTTCCCAAGAAGAGGCTGGCCCTTGCTTGACCCCTGCGAGATAACTTCTAAGCCCTCAGAATGTCCCACCTCTTGAGTGCCTTTGTCACTGGGCCACACCCAGTGGTTTACCTGATGATGCCTAGTGGTTCCCTTGTGTCTATGGGCTATGCTTGAACTTGACCTTGGAGGGTTGAAGACTGAGTAAGATTGGACACGTGGTTGTCAACCATGCCTATGTGACTGACCCCCAAGAGAGACCCCGGACTCCACGGCTTGGGCGTGTCTTCCTGATTGGCAGAACTTCCTGTTGTCACACATCGTCACTGTGAGGATAAAGCAGTGTCTAGGGGGCAGCTAGGCTCATTCCTGGTCTCTCCTAGACTCTGACCCCTGTGACTTCGACCTTTGCTGCCTTTAATCTGTGTCCTGTCACCTTGATAAGCCAGGGCCAAGGCTGGCCGCCCCTCGGACGTTCCTGAGTCCTTCTGTGGGGTCGTGAAGCCCAGGGCTGGTCTTGGTGGCCATCTTTGAAGATCACCTGCCACCAGGAAGTGAAGGCGGGCAGTTCCAGGGGAGCCCCTAACAGACTCCTCTTTGTGCCTTGTTTTCCTGGAGGCTCTGCTTAGATCAGGAAAAACCCACACCCTGGACCGGGCGCCCTGGGCTGCAGCAGAGCAGCTGGGGAGAGGCAAGCAGCTAGCGCAGGTCCCCTTGTTGATGGGGTGGGTGTGGCCCAGGGAGGTTAAGTGCCTTGCCCACGCCCTCACATCCTTCCTGACTCCAAAGCCTGGTCCCGAGGTTGAAACCTCTACCACTGCACCCGGCACGACACCCTTCAGGTGGGAGACCCCGTGGAAATGAGTTAGGCACCCCCGGGCACACTCCAGAAGGTCCACGGAGGCGGAGAAGTGGCCCCCTCTCCTCAGAGCCATGACCATGGAGAGCTGGGAACATCTCATTTATCAAGAGAAACAACTTCAACGCTTCACTTTTTAAAACAAAACAAGGACTAGATGGTGGGTTTCCAGTTTGCCTCTGATTTGAACTGGTGGCCTAAGACATATGGAAGAATCTGTGTCAGGGTAAAAATGGCTTCTGTATTGAGGAAACCACCTAGGTGGGACATTTTAGTCTGGAGGGAGCCCTCCCTTCTCCCCCAGGGCTCCCTGGCCCAGAAGGATGAGGAGACAAACCTGGTGGAGTCTGACCTATGAGGGGTCCAGGAGAACAAGAAGTAAGGACTCAGTCACCTCATCTGTAAAATGGGGGTGTGAATGCCCACCCTGAGGTTTAAGTGAATTGTTGTGTGAAGGCACTGAGACAGTGCCTGGAACATAGTAATTGTTCAACAAACGTTACTTTTTTTTTTTAATCATTACCATCGTTATATTATGGAGGAGAGAGATTTGAGGTTGCTGTGGAGTAGGAAGTTATAGGGGCACAAAGGGGTTATGGCCCAGGGAGGAAGGTATTCAAGGGAGAAATTCCCTGCAGTGAGAAAGGCCACAGAGCTCTCTTGGCCTAACTTCTGGATAGTTCGAAGGCCGCTACATCTACAATCAGGAGGAGAGGCTCCAAGAGTTAGGGCTCTATGTTTTTCTCATACAGAAGGCCTTGTGTGCATCATGGTTAGCCAGAGCTCCAGCCACCACACCCACAGTTTAGACAGGAAGTGGGGTAATGGCAAAAGAAGGGCAGCCTGCTTGCCACCCGAGTCAGCCCTTCTTAGGGAGCTGTCTTAGAAGCCCTGAAGGAGACCCTAAGCCATAGCTGCAGATACAAGAGATTTGCTCAGAAAAAGCCCCCGGAGGAAACCGTCAGGGAAGAAAAGGAAGCAGCTGGGGTCCAGGTTCAGGTCACCTCAACCCGGCCCTGTGGATCTCGAAGTGCACAGGGCAGCTCAGAGTGTGTCCCAGGGCACAGGACAGGAGCTGGCCCTGCACCGCAGCGCACATGCGGGTGGCTAGGAAGAGGACCTTCCAGGAGCCTGTCTCCATGCAGGGCAGGTGGCACAGGGGCCCAGTTCTGTGTCCACAGCAGGATGATCCACGGGTGCTTGTGCATGGGACTGGTTAGGGTCAAGGACATGGGGCAGGACACCAGGATCCGATGCCACCTCGGGTCAAGTGTCTGTTGGTTCCTAGTGTCTCTTGGACTGACGATGCATCCAGGGTCTCCCTTGCCCGCCACCCTCGCCCAGCCTGTGGGCCCTTCCTGACCCCCACCTGGGAGGGGGTGACAGGCAGAAGATGATGGCACAAATGGGCGGGGGTGGCCCAGTTCTCGACATTTTCCCACAGACAGGAACAGCTGGCGTGGCTCCTGGTGCTAAATTGAAATTAATGCTGGCCCCGTGCCTGGGCTGGCTCCCAGCGCTGTCCTCAGAGCAGAGTGTCTGCAGCGTGGAGCCCAAGAAGGTCACTTGCTGTCACAAGGGAAGGTGAGGAGGGGCTGTGATGGTCAGGGGGCCCAGCAAGAAATGGAACCTGAGGCGACTGGTCAAGAGACGTTAAAGAAGGGCCTTCTCTCAGCATGGGCCAGGCTCGGGGAATGGAGCCGGGAGGTCAGGGCACTGAGGGGCACCATTGCCCCATGCAGGAGGCTGCAGAAGGGCCCGGGTGACTGAAGGCCAGGGAGGGGTGGCATGGGGAGAGGGGTCATGTGGCAGGAAGCTGTGGACGTCGTGACGACCTGCAGAAGCATGAGAGGGACTTGAAAAGCCACGTCCACCCCGCTGCATGCTCTGGTCTCCTGCGGGCCCTCCCATCAGCCAAACCTGGCTGGAAGCCAGAAGGCCGGGGAGTCCACAGTGAGGTGCCACCCTTCAGTTTGAAAAGTGTCTTCTGGTACGTCTCTTCGGGAAACTTTTTAATTCAAGCGTGACATGCACTGGGACGGGCCGGTCACAGGTGAACTTGATCCATGCAACCCGCTAAGACACGGAGGCTTCGCCCTCCCTGGGAGGACTGGTTTCCTGTCTCCCTTCTCCACCCTCCTCTCCCAGGAAACCTAGATTCTGACTCTAAAAACATGAGTTTTCCCCGATTTGGTGCAGGTACATAAAGGGCATCTTCAGCATGAGCTGTTAGGGGTCTGGCCTTTGCATTCCACGTGTCCATGTCCTTGGCTGTACTTTCCCCCTTGCCGCAGGAGAGATCACGTTGCAAGGACATCTCTGCAAACCCTTTGCCTTATCTAGGAAGAATCTCCAGATTTAGGTGTTCTGAGTGGAACGGGGTAAACATTTTTTATAGCTCCCAAAACGCTTTCTGAAGGATGCACGACCCTTCTCCCTGCTCATCTGGGAAGTCTGTCACCAAGGTTAAAAAGGGTGACTCGAGCTTTCACTGGGAGAGAGGCCAAGAGGGGCCCAGGTCTAGATCCTCCTGGGGAAGGATCTGAAACTAAGTGCTGAGAATTCCCGCCTATGGGCCTGACAGTTCTTGGTCATAAGCCACAGAATCCTCTGTGCTGGGCGAGGTAGAAACGCAGCCTACTGAAGGCAACTGGGTAGCCAGTCCGTGGATTACCTGGGGGGTTTGGTGACTGTGTGGCAGGATCAGAACTCAAATCCCCAGGCCCTTCAGTTTATGCTCTGGACTCTGAGCACTGGACGTCTGGCCAGTGCCGCTGTCCCCAGACCTACGGACGGAATTCCTCTCTTGTCTCTTTGACCCTCAGGATCTCTGCTGGCCTCTTTGGGACCTTCAGATCTATGTGATTCAGGGTCCTCCACTCAGCCTGAACATGACTCAGGGCATTATTAGCAAGGGAGACACCAGGGAAGAGTTTTGAGCATGGTCAGCCCTTGTGGCCTCAGTGGGGCATTCCATCGCCCCTCAGTGTTCCTTGAGGGATGGATTCGAGGCATCCCTCCTCCATCAAATAGCAAAATATGTGATGCCCAAGTCCTTCCCAGGAAATAGTATGTGTGCATGTGCCCTTGCAATCCTCTCAGGTACCTGAATCACCTCTTGATTAATCCTAAAATCTAAAACAGTGGTCACACTGCCTTGTTTAGGGAATGATGGTAAGAAAAAGCCTGTGCACACTCAGTACAGGCAGGATTCTTTTCTAGAACGTTCTCCATCCACAGTTGGTTGAATCCCAGGATGCAGAGGTCTGGCAGCACTGGGTGGGAAATGGTGACCCTGGCCCTGACCCCGCAGTCTCTCAGCCCCAGTGCCAGACACCTCATCACCTGCTCCTCAGTCCTTTGCTGCCCCAGAGGGTGTTCTGTGTCCAATTCCATTTCCAGGGAAAGAAGCTCTGATTGGTCCAACCTGGTGAGACCTTCTCCTGTCATCCAATCAGCCACAGCAGGAGGGAGGACTGAGTGACATCACGGCCAGGAACTTGGAGGGTGGCCCCTTCAGGAGGGCCCTGCGAAGTGGGACGCTGGAGCTTGTTTTCTTTCTTTGTTTAAAATGATTGGTCATCTCATTAACCACCAAGATGGCAGAAGTCAGAATCCAGTCGGACTGCCTGACACTTATTTATGTAATAAATAAAATAGATCAGTGTGGCTTTTATTTGGAATGACATAGTATCACCGGGGAACTCCAAGGATTTCCCCAGGAGAGGGACCTCAACCCAGGATGAGTGGTAAATTTTCAGTAGCTTTAAGATTTTGAGTGAAGATTTGCAGGTTTCCAGAAATCTAGGGTTGACAGGATGAGGAGAGGAATTGGCTTGGGGAGTGACAATTCTGGAAGAAAAACTGATCTGGAGAGTGAGAGTATGAGGACCAGGCCTTTGGATTAAAGTTACAGTCTCCTCATCCTTCCTTTTGTCTATGTTCTTTTTTTTTTCTTTTTTTTTTTTGTGGGGGGGAGGTGGAGGGGATTGACCACTTGACCTCTGAGCCACATCCCCAGCCCTATTTTGTATTTTACTTAGAGACAGGGTCTCACTGAGTTGCTTAGTGCTTCGCTGTTGCTGAGGCTGGCTTTGAGTTGAGATCCTCCTGCCTCAGCCTCCGAGTCACTGGGATGACAGGTGTGCACCACTGCACCTGGCTCCATTCTGCCTTTTTATTTCTTCCACCTACCTCAGTAGATGGGATGACATATTTCGCCATCTTTGCAGGCTTTAAAGTTCCCAACTTGGTCCTGGCAGACTTGAAAAATTGAGGCTCAGAGAGTCCTACCAATTTTCTAAGGGCACACAGCACATCAGCAACTGAGGGAGGACTCCAGTGTCCTCTCTTCTATACAGTGCTCGTCCACTCATGCCATCTTTTCTGAGAATTATTTTCACATTCTGGGAGGAGGGCGGCATTTGTGCCACCTGACCATGGCTGCTGGCTCCACATGATTGGGCCAATGTAAAATCTAGGCTGGGACAATTGTATTCTCTTTCCTGGGAAGTCATGATTAAAGTATTGATTTTTCTTTTTTATAAACTGGGCTCCAGAATGGAACTCATAAGGAGAAAGCTGGGAGGGAGAGGGGAAGGCAGAGAAGATAATCTTTTTAAAAAGAGGCCAGGTGGAGAGACCAGGTGGAGAGAATTTGAGGGACGAGCTGCTTTGGTTTCAGTTTTCTAGTTCTTGGTTTTTGCTGCTCATGGGAACCTGCTCCTGCTTACCAGATAGAACGCTAGAATCCATAAACTTCACCATGGTTTTGGCTGCAAGAAGAAAACATAATCCATTCTGTCTTAAACTGAGAAGAAAACTTAGTAATTCTCATAACAAGAAATGCAGAGATATGTGGTCTGAGGCCTGGTATGATCAGGATTCTAGATACATTGTTCTGTAATTCTCTTAGCACATTCCTCTATTATATGTTGGCTTCGATCACTCACTGGCTTCCCTCATGATTACAAGACGGCTGCCAGCAACAACAGCAGTCACACTTCCATGGAGCCAGAAAAGCATCTCCCTCCAATCCTGGACCAACCTTTCTTGTTGAATTAGGCCACCTTCAGTTATGTGCATCTCCCTGGACCAGTTGCAGTCTCCCGCAGAATACCATGCACTGGTTGGCTTACGCTTAGGTCTTTGGTCCAATCATGAGCAAGGAGCTGGAATGGCTGCTGGCCAATGGAGTTGGGGCTGGAGCTGTGGGCTGGAATCAGCTCCTGGGCACACAGGTTACATGGGAGGGGGACAGTGACCTGATCAAATCGGAGTGTGCTAGGAAAGGAAGAAGGGAGAAGAGGGGCTGGGGAGACTGAAAGCATCATCTCGAGTTGGTCTGCGTGGGTTCCTGGTCCTGGTAGCCAGAGAGGCGTCGGTTTCCTGGTCTGCGCCCAGATGCCTCTGCCTGGCCCTCCGCAGCCTGGCTAATTTCCCTTCCATTCTGAGGCTTCCGCTCTTGCCAACATTTCTCGCCACTGGCGCACTGCTCTGGCAAGCTGGCATCTCATTCTGCTCCAGGCCCCGCTGATGGAGCTAAAGATCCCTTTAGCAGAATAGATTCTGGCATGTTCTAATTTAAAAAGCCTTGTACTCTCCCCGGCAGGGGGGCTGAGATCTGAACCCATGAAGTCACTGAGCGTGAATTCCTCTGAGGAAGGCCTATTTTTAACAGTTCCTGAACCTAACTGAACTTCATCATCTTTCAGGCGTTGACACTTAAAATACGTGCATCACACGCAGGCACGGAGCTGCTCTTCATGCACCAGAGACGGCAGAGACCAGCCTTCAGAGGGCCGCTCATCTGGGGGCTGCGGCTCACCCAGCATGGTGGTGAGTAAAGCAAGGGGCTTTAGAGACAGGCGACCCTGGGTTCAAATCCTGCTGCTCCACTAACTGCCATGCTATTTTCTCCAAGCTTCAGTTTTCTCATTTATAAAATGATGGTAACATGTGTCCATGACACTTTGTATCATCATTTAGAGGCAAAGCCTGACAGGGGGCTGTTGGTGATCTTTATTTATCCCACTTGGTGTGAGTATTCATAGGTCTCCTTGTAGAATCATTTGTGTGCTTGATCCAAAACCCTATACCCACACTGTCACACTAACATCCCTCATGGTGACAACATGGCTGCCAGCAACATCAGGGGCACCTGATGTGTGCTGTATGACCTTTCTGAAACCAAAATACATCCTGTCCTAGGAGTTTAGGGACAAGAAAGTGGAAACTCTTACTATGGCCCAGCTACAATTCACTCAGGGGGCTGGGAGGTGAAGTGGAAGTCACACGGACCCAAAAGTGCCCTAGGAAACCGGGATCCTCCATTAATACCTGACAGCGCTGTCATTATTGAATTTAGCCCCAGAGGAAGTGTTTTGGGGCCAATTGTATGAAAAGCGTTCATCTTTAAATTTTCAAACTGTTAGCACAGTGAAATGCTCAGGATTAGTCGCCCTTGACCTTGAGTCACCCACCCTTGACCGGGGTTTCCTGTGTCATGGTCACAAGGGGCAGGAGAGGGGTGGTCCCCAAGGAAAACAACAGGCAGACTCCCAATCACTGGTGAAGTTCTTTCTTTATAATCGATTTTTAATTTTCTTGCAGAGTAGTGGGACCAGGGCTGGGTTAACTGCGCGTGAAGTTGGTACCTGGCAGGGTCGCTGAGAGCGCGCGGATAAGACGACCGCGAATGGAGAGTGGCGTGGCCGGGGACCGGAATCCTCAGTAAGAGTGGCCTAGGACTGAGAAGAGCGCTGGTGGTTGCACGAGGTCACTCCGGGCCAGGAGGGCCCGTCTGGGCATGACTAGCCCGGCAAGGGGTCGCCGCAGGTCGCGGAGGAGCGTGTCCCGGGTCCCTCTCTTTCGCTACAGCTGCAGGTCGGGCCGGGGGGCGCGCCCCGCAGCGCCTTCCAGGGAGAATGCCGACTGTGCGCGTCACAAGGGCGCGCGCTCCGGGCCGAGTGCGGGCGGGGTGGCGCAGCGCCGCTGTGCAGCAAGCGCTCGCGTCGTGGGACCCGCGGCCGGTGAGCGCCCCGCCCTGCCCCGCCGCAGCGCCGCCTGCCGGGCGAAAGCAGCACTGCGGCCGCCCGCCACCCGCGCGGACCTAGGGGCCCTGAGCCTGGAAAGCCGCCTGTTCCCCACCAGACATCGGTAAATTGCAGTGTGTAAAGAACTCCTAAAACGTCCGACGCGTTTCCATTTTCCTCCCATAACGATCCTCATTATTATTATTTTAATGGTGTGTCTTTCTGCACCCCGGTTTAGCTGGTCGCCAAGGCGCAGGTTCAATTCCTGAGTTGCGCAGCCGCGGCTCAGTCTAATCCACACAGGAGCCTGACAGGGTCCCTGCAGGACCCTCCACAGGCCTGGCTTATCCTTTAAAGTCAGATTGTTAGAATTTGGAAGCAGAGGAGGGGCCGGCCTACCCTGCCTCAGCTAGCCTGGAGGGGATGCCATCCATTCAAACCCCGTATTTGCCAAGAGCTCACGGGGTGCTCGCCAGGGGACTATGGCCTGACGTGGCCTGACCAGGCTCTGACTTCTTGGCACTTTCTGCTCCCCAGAAGTGGGACGGCTTTGGTTCCTCCCAGGAATAGCAATTACAGGACATGTGGGAATGCAGTGCACATTTAGGCAGCAGCACAGAGTGGGGCTTGTGGCCAGGAGAGAAGGCGCCACCCATTCATGTTCTGAAACTCTTGAAGGCTGGTTGGATTGGATTCTTGAACTGTGAGTTTGAGAACTCTGAATGAGAGGGTGGTAAGACAGGGACCAGGACCCCTGGGGCATCCTCCAAAGACCCAGCTATGAGGCTGAGGGAGGACCTATCACCAGGGAGCAATCCTATCCCCAGAAGGAGAGGATTGTGCTGGCCTCTGGAAGCTGAAGAGAAGCCAGTAGCCTGGAGGAGCCTGGCTCTGGGTATGCATGTATGTCTCAGCAAAGAGAGCTCCAGCTCCCAGGGAATAATACCCAGCACAGCCAGTGATCTCAGGAACAGACACTGGATAATCCTGTCAGACAAGCACCATTCATCCATCACATGAGCAGGCTGTGCTAAGGGCTTCACACACTACCCCACGTGGGTGTGGGTACTCCCATCTACAGATGAGGAAACTGAGCCCAGTGAGGCAAAAGCACACTGCCCGTGAAAGGCAGGTGCACCCAGTCTCGCTCTGCAACCAGTGCATCCCAGAACCACTTAGGATCCAAAGAGCCCTGGGACGTAGGAGAGCCCCTGGACAAGGTGAAATTGAGCTGCACAGAATCCCAGAGTTGAAAGGGGTCCCATTAGAATGAAAGGTTTCCTTTGCCCAAACCTTATCAGTGAGGGAAATCCGGCTGCAGCTTGCGCCCCCATCCAGGGCTCATCCAGAGGCAGTAGAGACATGGAGCCATTGCCCTTACCCTGCCTTCCTGCCTGTGGGAACGTCCCCACATTAGATATTTTCCTTTAATGATGATTTACCAAAATTCAGTTAGCTTCCAAGCCTTCTAGAACCTGCATTGCCATCCACTACTGTCCCATTACCTATCAGACTGAAAGTCATTTTCAAAACTGATCATGTAAGTTAGGAATGCTTTAGGCTGTAATGAACAAGTTACCCAATGAGGATGCCTTCCCAATAGTGACACTTATTATTTTACTTAACAAGCAGCCTGGAGGAAGGCAGTTCCAACAAGGGGCAATAGCAAAGCTTGTTAATAAGAACCAAAATTTTCTTTGTGCTCCTCAGCGTTACAATGATATTTCTTCTCATGGTCATTGCATGGTTGCCAGAGCACCAACCATTGTGCCTTCCCCCTAATTTCCAAAAGAAGAAAGAGAGGGAAACATGGACAAAGTTCTGTTTTGTCACAAAGGAATAGGAATACACTTCTCTTTATGTCTCATTGGCCAGAGCTGGGTCACATGCCCATCTTTAAACCAATCATTGATAAAGAGAGGTGGAGTTACCATGATTACTGGAAACCAATCACAGTTCATCCTCTGATACACTGAGGAGGGGGGGACAACATTAAAGTTATGTTAGGAAGAAAGATATTAACTCTAGCTAGCTTAAGTCATTCCAGCTGCTGTAACAAATAAATCTTCACATTTCATTGGCATGGTGCACAGAAGTTATTTTCTCATTCATAGGAGTCCAATGAGGGTGTTCATGGTTGGCAGGTGACTTCTTCCATAATTTGATTTGGGAATCTGTCTTGTGGCTCAGTCTCCCATAAACGCCTATTGGGGAAGAGAGAATGGAAGGATCACATGCATTTCTTTAAGTTATGGCCCAGGAGTTGACTGCTTCCATCCCATTGGTGAGAATTCATCACATGTCTGTGCCTGGATGCACAAGTAGCTGGAAAGTATAAGCTGTAGCTGGAAGCCACCTCAGGTGGCCACTCTGAGTGACAGGGAGGTGGCTGTTCAGCCATTCAGGAACAGTGGGTTTCCAGGTTGATCTTTTGCCTGTCACCCTGTCACTCCCCACTGGCTGTGGCCATCTGTACTCCCGTACCGATCATCTTCTGAACACTCCTTTTATTCACTTGTATCTCCACCTTTGCCTGGGCTGCTCTCTAGGCCCAGAATTCCCTCTGCACTTTTCCTCTCTGCTTGGGTGAGTTCCTGTCTGTTCTTCTAAATCCAAATTAAAAATCCTCTCCCTTGTTGAGACTTTCCTCTACTTCATCCTGGGCTTCATTCACAGAATTATTTTTTTCTATTTTTATCATTATTTATTTATTTAGGTACCAGGGATTTAACCCAGGGCTGCCTAGCCACTGAGCCACATTCCCAGACCTTTTTATTTTTTATTTTGAGATAGGGCCTCGCGGTTGCCTTTAAACTTGTGATCCTCCTGCCTCAGTCTCCTGAGTAGCTGGGATTACAGGCATGTGCCACCGCACCAGCCTATCCACAGCATCTTTTTAAAAATTTTTTTTTTTTAGTTGTTGATGGCCCTTTATTTTATTTATTCACATGAGGTGCTGAGAATCGAACCCAGTGCTCACAAATGCTAGGCAAGTGCTCTACCACTGAGCCACAACCCCAGCCCCTATCCACAGCATCCTGAAGTCTGATTCACCACTCAGAGGCAAGTGATAGAAAACTCAGATTGCTTTAATGGAAAACATTGATTCATGTAATTGACATAATCCAGAGGCATCTTCAGGCTTGGCTAAATCCAGAGGCTTAAATGATGTTTTCAAGATTCAGTCTCTTTCCATATTAGCTTTATTCTCATGTCCCTGCAGAGGCAAGATGGCTCTCAGTCATCCCTAACCTCATTCTCCTAGGCTCAGGTATGGGAGGAAGCGAAGTCTCTCCCTTCTGAGTGTTCCAGCTTCAATTCCACTACACACTCTGCTTAGCGGAGCAGGAGTCACGTGACCACCCTTGAGCTAATACTAGGCCAGATGGCTAGGCTTATGCAGATTGGGCAGGGATCTGGCATTCTGATTGGTCCATATAGAGTCATAGTTCCAATCCTAAAACTGGTGGGAAGCAGTGATCCCCTGAGGGGCAAGGGAGAGGGAGGGTGTGGCTTTTCACAAGCAATTCAGGGCCTCACCAGGAGACAGGGAATGCTGAATCCTGCAAACCCCAGGAGACAATCACGACCACACTTCACCATATGGAACAACCCATTTACTGAGCACTTATTATGTGCCAGGAACAGTGCCTTACACATAATGGCCTGCAAGGTGGCTTCTAGAATTTTCCCCATTATCCAGATGATGAAACAGAAGCTCTGCAGAACTGAAAGGCTCGTTAGTGGTTGTGGAGGAATTTGAGCTGAGATCCGGTGAACCACACAACCAGTGCTTTAATCCCCTACATTCCGGGACCCCTCCTCTATGGGTGGCAAAGCTAGAATTTCTGCTTTAGGAACCTAGCTCCTGAGTCTGGAATTGGGGACTCAGGGAGTCTCACAGCCCATAGGGCTTAGAGAGTCAGTGTTGCCCCCTCCTCTGAGTAGGCCAGGTGAGGTTCAAGTGATGACCTGATAAATATGTCACTCAGTGCCACTGGCTCCTGCTCTAAAGGGGTGTGGGTCCACCCACAGTTGTAGCTGGGGCACATTTTGTTTCGACCCCATAAGGGGACACACCACCCCAGTGCCACTTTGCCCCCTTTTCCTTAGGACAAGGAGCAGAAGGGTAAGTGACATGCCAGAACCATCTGCCCAGCTCCTAATAATAAATCCTGAGTGGAACAAGTTCCGGGCAAACATTGCTTTAAAGGGGGGGCTCTTCTCACACCCAGGCAGCCATCTGCCTCCTCCTCACGTGCCAAGCTGTGGGCGGGGGACGGGACTGTGGAGAGTGGGGAAGGGAGGAGGTGTCACTTGGTCCTGCACCGCCAGAAGGGTGGCTTACAAGTTCTCTTCCTTTTATCACTGTGGACAGGACATTGCTGAGACAAAGAGGTGCGCTCACTGGCTTTGACCTCCGTGGGTCCAGTGTCTGAGCAGAGGAAAAGTTCAATTCCTTCAAGATGCCGGTGGTAGGTAACCGCAGCTCCTGGGGACAGTTGGACACTCTGCTGTACACTCACTTCACAAGTATTAGCTCTTTGTCATTTTTTTGATGGGAGCCTGGAAGCTCAGAGACAGCCAGTGACTTTCTCCCAAGGTCACAAAAAGTGGCAGAGCTAGGACTTGAACCCAGGGCCCCAAAGAATACCCTCTTCCCAACATAGCAAGGAACCTCTTGAGTACGCAGTGTTGACAGGAGACATCTCGCCATCCTGGCAACCCAGGGCCGCTTTTCCATGTAGCAGACGAGCATTCACCTCGTCCTGGGTGGCCAGCCATGGCCAGCCATGTGCAGGCAGCCATCCTCCCTTGAGCCCCAATGCGGGCATTTCTGGTCACCTCACCCCTCGCTCTCCGCACCATCTCAACCAGTTGAAGAAGCACAGGAGAAAAACCTCGGTAACTCCTCCGGAACTTTCCGAGAAGACCAAGGAGCAGCTGGCGGAGGCTGAGCTTCGGCAGCTGAGGCTGCAGTTCCGAAAAATGGTGGAAAGTCGCAAGTCCTTCAACTTCCGCAGCCAGCTGAAGCTCTCCAGCCAGCAGTGAGTGACCTTGGAGGGCAGCGGGGTTGGGCTTCGAGGGCTCACCTTCTCCTGAACCCAGTCCTTCGTCGAAAGGCTCCACTTCCAGGGGAAACCCGCTGGACGCGGCCTCAGCAGGAAGCGCGTGTTGTCAGCGTCCAGGGCGCGGAGGGGACCCCAGGGAGCAGGGTGCCCACCCTCAGGGAAGGCCCCAGGGGAGGCTTTCTGGTGCCTCTGTCTCTCTTTCCTGTCCTCTCTCCGAATTTCATTCTTGGCTGGAAGAAAATGATTGTCCCCAACTCTTGAGTTTGCCAGTGACCCAGGGCCACAGTCTGAAATCCTTCCCAAAGTCCCACAAGAGAGGGGAAGTGTGATTGGCTCCGCTTGGGTCACGTGTCTATTCATGGTCCAATCAGCTGAGTGGGGCGGGGCCGTGGAAGGAGAAATGGGAGGGGCTATCCCTGCCCTGGGCCCGGCCTGGGGGAGTTCTTTGAGCTGTGCAAACCCTTGGCCTTCCCTATTTGTGCGTCCTTAGGGGAACTTCATGATAGAATATATGAAACTAGGTTGCCCTAGAAACAACGGTGTGTGTATTTCTTTGGGCAACAGAAAGGTGTTCCCTAGAGTTGAATAAACAAACAGAAGCGGGAATTCTGAGATTCCCTCCGCGGGAATCTAATGCCTTAGCTACATCCGTAGTGTTTACAGAAAGCTCACTGTTAGAAAATCTCACTGTTGGATGATGCGTGAAGTTCAAAGGATGGAGAAAACGGTTCCTTAGATTTCCCTTGGATTCACTTAATCAGGGCCGGGGCTGGTCCACATGGGACATCCCTGTGAATTTTTAAAAGGCATCCTTTCCCAAGACACTTTACTGCCATCTGTTGGAAAAATGGTCATTACGTAGGGATTTTATTAGAACAAGAAAAAGTGTCTCCTAGAAAAGTGTAATCAACACATCTGTGATGCTTTGTGGGCATTCTCCAGGGTGGTGCTGCCCACAACCTGCACATCTGTGCCTGGCCATCTGACTCCCAATAGACGCCTGGTGGACATCAAGAGATGCCTCCTTCCTGGTGTGGCTACTTCGCCCCATTTGATCTGGTTTCACTTTGGTGGAACTGAAGGGAGGGGTGGAAGAGCAGGGAGTCTAGTTTCTTTACAGTTAGCACCTATAAATAGAGCCAGAACTGAGGGCAGGGCCCTAGGGCACTTTTTCCAAGTGCCCACCCCTCACTTAAACCACCCTGAGAGGGAGCACTTTTAAAATCTAGGGGTACCTCACTCTCTTACCCAGTCCGAGCTGTCTACAACAGACAAACCTTCCTTTAGCTTTAACCACCGTACCAAATGTCTGATTCAGGTAGAGAGGTCTTTCTTTTCTCTCCACCTTAAGGAAGACCCCCTTCCAGGAGGGGCTGAAGAAGGGGAGAAAGTCCAGTTGCAAGCTGAGAAGACTAGGTGCTCTGGTCACCAGCTATGTGTGGCTATTGAAGTTGCAACTGATTAAATGAATCGAAAACAGAGTTCTTTGGTTGCTCGAGTCACATTTCCCATGTGCACTGGCCACATGAGCCTCCATGGGTATTCCTGGATGGTGCAGATAGAGGACATTCCCATCCTTACAGAATGTCCTACAGGACAGTGGTTGGCAGGCCATGGCCCAGGGTTCAGATCTGGCTGGCTGCCTCTCTCTGTAAATAAAGTTTTATTGGCACACAGCCATACCTATTAGATTATGCATTGTCTATGGCCACTTTTACACTGTAGGGGAATTCAGAGCTTTCAAGAGAGACCCGTGGCTCCCAAAGCCTAAAATATTCACTCTTTGGCCTTTTATAGAACGAGGTTTGCCAAGCCCTTCCCTAGAACATTCTTTAGCATTCTGAGCCCTGCTTCCAACACTTCTATGAGCCTGCGGAACACTCAAGGAGCATCTGATCCACTAGGTCCCAGGTTGGGGCCTGAGATTCTGCATTTCCCCAGGCTCCCAAAGGACACTGAGGCAGTGGTTCTGCAAAACACAAAAACCCGGCCTTGGTGCGGTTTCCCATTGTTGAGTTGCATCCCCGCTCCAGCCCTCCTTCAGCATAGACAGAGGAAAGGAGAGGAAGAGACCATGTCAGCTTAGTCAATCACTGGCCCTCCAAGGAGAGAAACTGGATCTCAGGCAATCAGGGCTCTAGACCTGGAGGGAAGACTTTGGTCAACCAGGTGGGAAACACATTTCCCAAGTTACAGTGTCTAGAATGTTCCTTGAAAGTAATTCCTGAGGTTCCAGGTTAACCGCAGGCTGCTTTTCCAACAGCAAGGAAATCCAGGCCCTGCAAGCAGAGCAGAATGAGATCACCCTGGTTTTGAGTCTCCTGAAGTCCTCGAAGAACTTGGATCTGAATCAGAAAAACTACCTTGAGCTGCGTTTCCTGTTGCAGGCCAGGGAAGACTACGAGGCCATGATTAAGTCCATGAAGGAGTTGCTGGTGGAGCTGGACGAGAAGGTGCGACTCAAAGGTCACCCAGAGCAGGAGGGGAGGAGGCATTCCCAGGATGCCTTAGGCAGACTGACTCTGTCCTTCTCCTGACTTCCCCTAAATGCTGCCACCCTTGTGTCCTCGGGGCTCCTAGTTTCTGGGCTTAATCCCAGGACACCACAATCCTGTCCTTGGGGCATCAACCAGGGGCAGTGGGGTCAGGCTGCAGCAGCGAACGCCACCCTTCCCCAGGCTCCATGCCTTCAAACAGTGAAGGCCTCTTCCTGCATATGTACCATGGGTGGCCAGGGGTGGGAAGCACCCATTTGGAACACTGCCAGGTATTACGTCAGGGAAGAGAGTTCTGGAGGGCCTCACACTGGCCCTGGAGCCTTATTGGCTCAAGATAGTCATGTGACTCTACCCATCCACACAGGTGTCCAGGAAGTGCCACCCTCCCATGGCAAAGAGTTAAGATTTTCTGGGTGGCATTAATGATCATGTCCCTGACTATGCATTGAAGTGCCCTGCATGGTCCATCCCTGCCCACCTTTCTGGATCACCTCAGGGTCTTTGCACATGCTCCCCCATCACCACCCCAATTGTCTTCTCGGGGGCCTTCTATGTGTCTTTTCTCCAGGGTACAGTGTATCTTCTTCTACGGGTTAGGCTGCTGTCCGGGAGCAGGCAGCACCCTTAGTAGCAGGCATTGGGCCAGGGTTTAGGCGGGGCTCTTTTCAAGGGTGTGAGTGAGCACATTGAGAGTCTGCAGGACAGCTACAGGGGGCATGTGGGGTGGACCTGGAGCAAGCCGGAGGAAGGGAAGACCCGACTCCTCTCTGTTTAACCCTCCAATCCTTGCTTAGGGAGCCATCTTGAATCCTTGCAGCTCAGTCTCTGGCATGGAAAAGGGTAGGGAGTAGATTTTGAGGCAGTGGTTCTGCAAAACACAAAAACCTGGCCTTGGTGCAGTTTCCCATTGTTGAGTTGCATCCCCACTCCAGCCCTCCTTCAGCGTAGACAGAGGAAAGGAGAGGAAGAGACCATGTCAGCTTAGTCAATCACTGGCCCTCCAAGGAGAGAAATTGGATCTCAGGCAATCAGGGCTCTAGACCTGGAGGGAAGACTTTGGTCACCCAGGTGGGAAACACATTTCCTTACCCTCTTCAAAGGCACCCACGGCACCTCCCTCCTAAGCTCTGCTCACAGTTGCAATTCTGCCTTGAGACGGGGTGGCTTAATGTCTGTCTCATCAGTCTGTCTGATCCATTAGGGTAGGACTATGTCCTCTCAGTCCCCGTGGTAATGCCCATTCCCACACCTGTCTGGCACACAGCAAGTTCTCAATAAATATTAACTGGTTGAATGAATCCAAAAGATCTCATTACATCTTTTCTCTGCCTCAGACAGTGATCTTCTGCCGTCAGGCCAAATGCTGTAGTGGGCTTGGGCCTTGCTGCACCGTGGCCCTCCTGCCTCCCCATCCCCTACCCGCACCTGGGTGTTCGGTCCTCATGTCCTTTGATTCCACAGTGCCCTCCTTCTCATCAGGCCTTTGCAGATGCTGTTCCTCTGCTGGGGTGCCCTTCCCATCCTCTGTGCTTGGTGACCTCCTATTCATCCCTAAGGTCCCAGCTCAGGCACTATTTCATCTTTCACCACTAGATGGCCCTATTGAGCCTGCCGGGAGCACCTTGCTCATTGCCCTCCCAGGCTCACTTCCAAGACTGGCTTATCATTCTCTGAGCGCGGGGACCATCCGCCTTGCTTGTCGCCCTTCTCTTGTCTGGCACGGGAACAGGTGTTTAATAAGCATGGATGGGTGGGTGAGGAAGGAGGCAAAAAGTGAAGAGGGAAATTGAAGAAAAGATGGGACACGGGTCTTGAGAAGCACTAGGCGAGGACAACCTAGTGTGGGATCCTCAAAAGATCGTGGTGTCACGGCCCCATACAGAGCCTCTTGGCTGCGTCTCATCCCAGGACGGGCAGGCTCCAGAATTCCCTTCCTGTGTCCTCCACCCCTGGACAGAGCTTCGTCCTTGCAGGAGGTCGCTGGAGCCTCACGGGGCTCTTCCTGGCCCCGGGAGGATGTAGCAAGTGTGTTGGAAGACAGCGCCAGGCTGGGGAATCCATTCCTCCTTCGGCTCAGCCCAAGGCTCCTGGCTCTTCCCAGCATCGCCAGAGCTGCATCCTGCCAGGATGGCGAACTTAATCAGGAGGAGCAGAGGCTGGTGGCTCCAGGGTAACCAGTGAAGAGGGCAGCATCCCTTCAGAGCAGCGATGTCAGGGCGTGGAGGCAGCACTTCATGGTGGTGAGCCAGGGAGCAAAAGAGAAGGAGAGGAAGGGGCTGGGTCCTGCCAGCCCCCTCAGGACACGCCCCCTTGACCTGCAGACCTCTCGCTAGGCCCCACCTCTTAAAGGTGGCACAGCTCCTAATAGCACCTCTCTCGGGGAACAAGCCTTCAACACACAGGTCTTTAGGGAAGCATTCCAGATGCACAATTCAGCACTCTGCCAGCCTGTTTTATTTTGAGGGGGATGAGACTGACTGAACCTAGAGTTGCTCTACCACTGAACCACATCCCCAGCCCTTTTTATTTTGAGACAGGGTCTAATTTGCTTAGGGCCTGGTTAAGTTGCTGAGGCTGGCCTTTAACTTTCGATCCTCCTGCCTTGGCCTCCTGAGTGGCTGGGATTACAGGTGTGCAACCACTCTGTGTTATTGTTTTTTTTTTTTCCCCCTGAAACCCAGGATGTGTTTTCTTTTAGTTGGCTCACATTGCTATTTCATGCCAGCCACCTGGCCATAGCTTGTGACTGCAGGCAATAGATTTATCTTTCTGTGTCTCAAAGTGACAGCTGGGACTGTGCCCTAGAGACTTCACGAAGGTGTGGGGACAAATGAAGGGCACTGAAACTCAGGGGTGCTGACACAGGACCCCTGACACAACTGCTTCCAGAATTCAGCAGCTTAATCTTGGCTCAGGGGTCTCTGACCCCAGCCAGAGGCAGACTCAGTGTGGGTGACAAGCTCTGTCACTCACCCCGAGGCACCAAAGCCTCCTTCACTGAGGACCCCTCAAACCCAGAACAGGACCTGGGCTTCAGATCATCCTCCAAGGTGAATTCTAGCAGCTGCCTCTAGACAAACTTCTCACTCTGAAGGGATGATTAAATGGTGGTGACCCCTTATTTCCTTGCTTTCTTTACATACCAGGTTCTCCCCAGAAAGCCTCACCCCTTAGTCACAGCTCAAACCCCAGAAGATAAAGTGCCCCTGATACAGTTGGGACCTGGTCCTCGCCTGTCTCGAAGGGCACTTTTCTTCAGAGGACATTTTCAGGCCAGCCTGGGGACTCCTGGGACTCTGGTCAAACTGCTCCTTCTCAGTGGGGCTGACGAGTGGGTGGAGAATAAGGATCTTTGCCTAGGTGTAGACTGAGCACACTGCAGCTGGCTGTGCCCATTTCTAGCAGAGGGTGGAAATGACACATTTGAACATCTATGGAGTGAGGTTTAAGGGAGAGTGACCCCGAGGGGGGGGCATTTGTAGGACTCTGGGGCTGAAGGATAGAGACATCAAAATTCTCCCCTGCCAGCTGGGATGGGGTGTATTTCACTTATCTGAAATCAGAGTCAGCTCATTGTCCTATTGGAGAAAGTGGACAGTGTGTCTGTTAGGCATGCTTTGGGCTGCAGGTAACATAATACCTAACCAAGGGGCTCCAGTCAAGGGGTATTTATTTATCTATTTTTTTTAAAGTAAACTTTGTATTTTGGAATAATTCTAAATCCACAGAATTATTAATTAAAAATTGTTAGTTAAAAAGCTAACACAGAGGCTTCCTACAGGCCCTTCATGCTGCTGTTCACCTTAGGTTACTTTATTTATTTATTTATTTATTTATTTATTGTTTTTTTATGTATTTATTTATTTATTTTTTTAAGAGAGAGGAGAGAGAGAGAGAGAGAGAGAGAGATGGGGAGAGAGAGATGGGGAGAGAGAGAGAGAATTTTTAAATATTTATTTCTTTTTTAGTTCTTGGCGGACACAACATCTTTGTTTGTATGTGGTGCTGAGGATCGAACCCGGGCAGCACGCATGCCAGGCTAGCGCGCTACCGCTTGAGCCACATCCCCAGCCCCACCTTAGGTTACTTTAGGACATTCATCAGGACCAGGAAATACACCCTGGCACATGACTGTGAACCTGACTACCATATTTATTGGGATTTCACTGGTGTTTCCATTCATGTCCTTTTTCACTCCCAGGATTCCATTCAGGACAACACAGGGCATTTAAGTTATTTGGGTTTTCTTTTTTCTTTTTTTTTCTTAACAAGAAGTCCCCTGGACAGAGGTGGATGATGTCAAGATTGTGGCAGCCAGGCCTTCCCCGTGTCTCCCCCTGCGTCCCTCCACCCTAAGCCATATCTGCTTGCTTCAGAGGAGGAGGTGACCTGGTCTACAAGGCCAGGTCTCCGGAGCAAGGTCTCCCTAGCCCCTGTCCCCAAGAAACTTTGCCTCAGAGCAACTGCCCCCTAGCTCTCCACCTAGCTCTCTTTCTCCAAGGGGTCCCTCTCTTCCCCTCCTTCAAATAACCTAAAAACCAAGCAAAACACAAAACATAACCCTCCTGGGATTGCAGGTGACTGCCCACATTCCCCCTTTCTAGAAGTTTCAGGGAGATTTTTCTACTTTCTCTGCTTCCCTTTCTAGGGCTGGGGCTGTCTCCACTTCTGTCCCCAGTGTTCGGAGCAACGTCCCCTCCACTGAAACTGCTTTCTCTGGCTTCACCAAGGAACTTGACTTTCCTAAAACCAGGGCCTTGCCTCCGTTTCCCTTCCACTAACTACTCCCGAGGAACCCTTGTCCTAATCCCCACATCATGGATTTGTTCTGCCTGCATATAGAACAGCATGTAAATGGCCACTTTCAAAGTATGTCTCCATGTCTGGCTCCTTTCATTCGACATCCTTTGCCAAGACCCCTTTTCAACAACCAATAAATACCCTGTTGTAATTCACAGATGATACGAAGTTCCGATTACTTACTCTTTTAAATCATTGTGGTGCCCTAATTATAGTGTAAAGAAGAAATAAAAGAAAAGCTATTTACACTACAATTAAATTTATTTCCATATTTGAATGTTCTAGTGTGGTATATCGGGAACAGGGCCAGGAAACTCATTTTGTAGAGGCCCAAACAGTCAATACTTCAGCTTTGTAAGTTATAGTCTCTGTTGAAACAACCTCACTCCACCTGAGTAGCCTGAAGGCAGCAGCCTTAACAATACGTAAGTGAATGGCTGTGGATGTGTCCCAATAAAACTTTATTAATAAGAACAAACAGTGGGCAGGATTTGGCCAAGGGCTGCTGTTTTCATGGTGACCAACTCTTGGTAAAGTTCCAGAACAATTTATTTTGTGTGTGTAGCACAGGGGATTAAACCCAGGGCCTTGTGCATGCAAGGCAAGCCCTCTACCACCTGAGCTACATCTCCTGCACCCCCCCCCCTTTTTTTTTTGCTGAAATCTAACCCATTGTCTCCCACATGCAAACACTCTGCTACTGAGCTGTGGCCTCAGTCCAACTGCTTTCTTTTGATTTATTTTATTTTTTTAAATTTTTTTTGTTTTAGGTGGACACAATATCTTTATTTTTATGTGATACTGAGGATTGAACCCAGTGCCTCACGCATGCCAGGCCAGTGGGCTACCACTTAAGCCACATCCCCAGCCCTTTCTTCTGATTTATAAAGTCACTTTGTTCCTGGATCAGTCAGTGTTTTATTAGAATTGAATGAAAAATACAGTGTATTTACATGGAAAAGACAGTTTGCTGACACATCTTGAATGCCTGATGCTGCCTCACATGTCATGACATGTGTGACATTTTGTGACCAACCCATTAAATGCCCAAAGTACGCTTGCTCTGCAAGAGCCAAACAACACCTGCTCAAGGTCCCAGATGGCCCCTTGGGGTACACTCATTTCTGCTAGAGACCATGGCTTAGGGAGGCAGAGTCCATACCCACAGGTGAGTGGAATTTCCATGCACAGGTGAGATCCCACACTCTAGTTGTTGACCGACCTTTATTTTTATGTGGTGCTGAGAATCGAACCCAGTGCCTCACACATGCCAGGCAAGTGCGCTTCCACTGAGCCCTAGCCCCAGCCCAAGATCCTACACTCTAAATTGCCTCATTTTACCCAAAACTAAGATTAAGCTGAACTGAGCAGACATCCAAAAGAGAAGAATTGACAGGACAAGAAAGGGTATTTCCATCTCTGCGTTAGCCCTCTTCAGCAAGCCCACTGTGGAATCTATACCCCTACAGATGCTAACACAGCTGCCTGCTCTCGCGCTCCGTCTCTCTTTTGCAGATTGTTCACATGGAAAAAAAAATCTCAAGCCAAAAACAGATCTTCACAAAAATGCAGAAGGCCAACAACCCACAGAAACTGCAGAAACAGATACACATTTTGGAGAGCCGGCTGAATCGGGTATGTGGGGTGCTCCCCTCTCCCCCCACCCCCTTTGCTTATGGTGAAGAAGGGCATCCTCTGAACTATTGGCAGACCACACCCATTTCCCTGTGGACCCAGGAGATGGTGAACCAGTGATGGGCACACAGAGCAGGAAGCAGTCTAGAGTTTGCCATCTACCCTCTCTGCACTCTGTCCCATCTACCTTAGCATGTGCTGCTGTCTTCCATCCGCCCCACCCCCACCCCCACCGTCCGGGGGATGCCTACCCTCTTCAAGCAGAATTAGATTCCACCATGGCAGTGAGACCTTGCTTCTTGTCATAGCCAGTGACTTACTGTTGTGCTGTTGAACGACATCATCCACTTAGCTATTAGGCCTTACATGATCATCCTCAATTCACAATGACTTTTGTATTAAGTAGGATTTTCTAAATTGCTAACTGACTTTTAAACAAACAAACAAAACCCCCAAAGAACAATGACAAAAAGGAAAGTGTTGGTCCAAGAACTGAAAAACTCAGAGGTAGAAGTGGAGCCTTCAGGCATAGCTGGATGCAGGTGCTCCAAACATGTCCTTTGGACATCTTCTCTGTCCATCTCTCCCCTGGGTAAACGTCATCCTTAGGTAGCCCCAGACATGATCAAACGCCAGCAGAAAGGGAGCATCTCTTTCCTAAGGGTTTAATATGCCTGTCCCAGGGGAGGGGTTCCCATTGGATCAGCTTGGATCATGTGCCCACCCTTGAGCCAATCACTGTGGTTAGAAGAATGGAATACAGGGACCTGAGGCCTGTGACTCTTCTTGGTTGGCTTTCTCTCCCCCAGAGTGGTAGCAGAGAGAGGGGACAGCCCAGTCTAAACTGTGTGGCAGCAGAGTGAGGAGAGGTGGTTCCCCCTGGAGGATCAGGAGAAGGAGGAGGAAGGCTGGGCGGAGACACTTTACAGCCCAGCAGCTCCTGCATCCAGAGGGGGACAGGTCCTTGCCTCACTGTGCAAAACTCTTAGCTTCCCCCAAACTCTGACCACCAGGCGTTACCCAGGCACTCTGCAGCGAGGTGTCCCCTCTTATGTCTCGGAGAGATGTGATTTTGTATCCCAAACTGGTCCCCTCTTCCCCTCACACTGGACAGGACTGGCTATGCATTCCAGTGGATTAGGGGCCATCTCTAAAGATGACTTCCGGATCCCAGAATACCCATGACCCTGAAATCTCCACCTACTCCAGAGAGCCTGAGAGCCCTCCCAGTAGGTCACATCTTTTATGGCAGCTGGAGAACCCCACAGGGAAACCTGCCAAGAGTCCAGGGTTTAAAATTTAAGGAGGTGCTCACGCTCAGGCTTGGGGAGATGCTGTGTTGACACTTGACCACGAGAGCTCCCTTAAATTTTATGGCTGGCTACCTCAATTAAGCCTGCCTTGACCCTGCAGAAACCTAACATCTCTCATAATGTGCTTTGAAAACCTTTGATGGGATCAAAGCCCTTACTGTCAGGAATCTCTTTTGTAGTTGTTTCTTTTTCCGTGTCTATGGGAGAAATTCACTCTAACCCTTTTTATATTTTTTATTTCGAGTCAGGGTTTCACTATGTTGCTTAGGGGCCTCACTGAGTTGCTGACACTGGCCTCAAACTTGCAATCCTCCTGCCTCAGCCTCCAGAGTTGCTGGGATTAGAGATCTGCATCACCATGCCTGGCTCACATCACCTTAAAAAAAAAAACTTAAAAAATTATTTTTAAAAATAAGCTTTATCATGTATATTTAAGGCATAGTTGGTGATGTTCTGGAATACATGTGGAGAGTAAAGTGGTAACTGTAGCAAAGGAAATTAACATATCCATCACGTCATATGGTTGTGTGTGTTTTTGTGGTGACAGTAGCTACAATCTACTCACTTCCCAGGGATTCCAAACACAGTAGGACTTTATTACCCATCATCCTCACATTGCGACTCTAACTTGTTCATCTGACACGTCTGCTCCCTCGCATCCTCTGACTTGAAGCTCCCCACCCCTCCCTGTAACCACTGTCTTTCTCTCTGTCACGTGACTTCTGTTCTGTGGCCAACCCTGCACGTAAGTGAGATCACACAGCATTTGTCCCTCTGTGTTTGGCTTATTTCACGTAGCGTAATGTCCTCCAGATCCACTCATACTGTGGCAAATGGTAGGATTTTTTTTTTTTAAGGCTGAATATTGATCGTGTGTATGTGTGTGCATGCATGCATGTGTTCAAGTTCCTTGATCCGTTCACGCGTCATGGACACTAGGTGTTGCTGTGCCTCAGCTACAGCGAGCAAGGCTGCCTGCTCCCAGCTGCCAATCACATTTCCTTTGGGCTCATACCAGAAGAGGGTCATAGGGTCATTCTACTTTTAATTTCTTTAGAAACTTCCATAAAGTTTCCCATAGTGACTGCACCAACCCATATTCCCATAGTGTAACCCACATCACTTAAAAAAAAAAACTCTTTAAAAAAACTAAGACAAATTTATGAAGATGTACAAAAAAAAATTAGAGGGAATAAAATAATGAACCCCCACATACCTATCACTTTGATCTAATAATTGTTAATGATTTGCTTTAATGGCTTTACCGTTTTTCACCCTGGAGTATTTTAAAGTAAATTATAGGTATCATGACATTTTAGCCCTGATTTCTTCAGTTTCACCTCTTACAATTAAACATTTGCTTTCATAATCACAATATCAATATCACATCTTACAAAATGAGTATTTCCTTCACATGACCCAATACCCCATCCCTACTAAAATTTCTCTAGTTGAACCAAAAAATGTCCTTTAAAAGTTGGTTCAAGCAAGGTTCATACAATTGTTAGGTCTTTTAAGTTTCTTTAAATTTAAAATAGTGGCTCTTAATCAAGAATGATTTTGCCGCTAGAGGGACATTGCCTTCTGAGGGACACACTTTAGCTTGTCACAGCTAGATTGGGGGTGGGTGGTAGTGATATTTAACATGCTAAGAAGCCCAGCCCAGCCCCCGCCACAGAGAATCATCTAGCTGTAAGCACCAGGGTCTTGTTAAGTTGCTGAGTCTGGCCTCAAACTTGCGATCCTCCTACACCTGCCTCTAGAGTCACCGGGATTTCAGGCATGTGCCACATGGCCAGCTTGGCCAGTTATTTCTGATGGTGTCATTTAACTTGTTCCTGTCTCTCATGTAGTGACCCCAAACTGGAAATTAGGTCTAAAAGTCATTGAGGAATCTGAAATCCAGAGAAAAGAATCCAGCAAAGGCCACTTAGCCAGTTGGTGGCCCACTCCACCATCACCCGGTGCTCCCCAATGGTTGTTCCATGGCCTGGGATGTGAGGCAGCGTGTGGGACCTTCCCACCTTCCATCTGCCTTCTGGACGCTTGTCTTACAGCCCAGAGAGCAGCCCTGTTTTGAAACACAGCCCTTCCAACAGGTCACTGAGCACTTTGATAAGATGCTGACTAGCAACGCCAAGCTCCGTCAGGAGATTGAGAACCTGCGGTTTGAGAAGGCCACTTATGACAACATCTACCAGCAGCTGTGCCAGAGCCTGTTGTCGCAGAAGAAAACCATGAACTTAGCAATTGAGCAGTCTTCTCAGGCCTATGAGCAGAGGTGTGCTGGGGAGGTGCCCACTGCGGTGTGTTGGGGGACCTTAGACCATAAACCCAATGACTCTGAGCACTGACAGCATGCAGCTGAGGCCAGAGGCTGTGTGTGACTTTAGCCCTCACAGCGGCCCTAGGTCCCCCTTTTACAGACCAGGACAAGGAGGCTTAGAGACACTAAAATACTTACCTGAAATCCAGGTAAGTGGAGGGTGTGCTGGAGTTAATACGCAGACCTCTATTTGATACTGTCCCCTCAGGAGCCCCTGCCTTTGGTCCTGAGGGACTGTCTCCATCGCCTCTCTGTGGCCTGCAGTTGGGCTGTGGAGAGAGCAGGTGTTAGAGTGAGAGGAATCTGGATTTGAATCTTTGCTCCATCGCTTCACATCATTGTAGGATCTCTTTAGGTGGGAAAGAGGGTCAATAAGATGAAGGAGCGCCTGGGTCACGGTGACTGTCAGGTAGTGGTGGTGGTGATGTGGTGATGATGATGGTGGTGATATTGATGATGATGTGGTGATGGTGGTGGTGGTGATGACGGTGCTGATGGTGGAGGTGGTGATGTTAATTGTGATGTGGTGATTGTGATGATGACGGTAGTGATGTTGATGATGATGATGTTGATGGTGATGATGATGATGGTGATGGTGATGGTTGTGACATTGTTGATGGTGATGATATGGTGTTGACGGTGATGGTGGTGATGTTGATGGTAATATGGTAATTGTGGTGGTGATGGTGATGGTGATGATATGGTGATGTGGTGATGGTGATGGTGATGGTATAGTGATGGATGGTGATGGTGATGATAGTGATGATGGTGGTGGTGATGGTGATGGTGATAATGATGGTGGTGATGGTGAGGGTGGTGATGGCTGTGACACTGATGATGGTGGTGATGGTGATGGTGGTGATATTGATGGTGATGTGGTAATTATGGTGTTGATGGTGCTGGTGATGGTGGTGATGGTGATGGTGGTTGGTGATATTGATGGTGATGTGGTAATTATGGTGTTGATGGTGCTGGTGATGGTGGTGATGGTGATGATTTGGTGATGATGGTGGTGATGGTGAAGATTTGGTGATGTGATGATGGTGGTGATGGTGGTAATGGTAATGGTGGTGGTGATGGTGATGATATGGTGGTGATGGTGATGGTGATGGTAGTGGTGATGGTGATGATATGGTGATGTAGTGATGGTGGTAACATAATGGTGGTGGTGATGGTGATGATGGTAATGATATGGTGGTGATGGTGATGGTGATAATGATGGTGGTGATGGCTGTGACAGTGACGATGGTGGTGATGGTGATGATGGTGATGGTGGTGGTGATGATGCTGGTGATGATTATGATAATGACAGTGGTGCTGGTAGTGAGGATGATGATGAGACAGAGATGACAATGGGAAAACACACTTCCTGTGCATGGCCTAGAGCTTGCAGCTCCAGTTGTTCCAGTAAGTTAGTCTGTTCCACTCCTAAAGTCCTTGGTCAGTAGGAGACCTGGTGGCTGCTGGCCAGACAGGAAGCCCCCAGGGCCACAGGGAGAAGGGAAGAGAGTGAGGTGCCTGGGGACCTCAGCCCCTGTATCCTCGCAGCATGCAGGCCATGGCCCGCATGGCTGCCATGAAGGACCGCCAGCAGAAGGACATCTCTGAGTACAACCTGGAGATCCGTGAGCTGGAGCGGCTCTACGACCTCGAGGCCAAGCTCAAGTCCTTCCTGCACGTCAAGCTGAAGGACCGCATGGAATTGGAGGAGGACGCGAAAAAGAAAGAAGGTATACCACCCCCACACACCTCCCCACACCCCCACACCCCCACCACTCCCCCACCCCCCACCCCACCCCCCGGCGCTCCCCAGTCTCCTTGTGGTAGCATCGCCAAATTTAGCACAAAAAAATAATAGGGCTGGGCTGGGGCTCAGCGGTAAAGCGCTTGCCTCACATGCTTGAGGCCCTGGGTTCCATCCTCAGCACCACATAAAAATAAATAAAGAGACTGGGTCCATCTACAACTAAAAAAAGAATTAAAAAAAAAAGATGCCTAGTTGAATTCAAATTTCAGAGAAACAATGCCCAGATTTTTAGGATAAACATGTCCCAAGCAGTATCTATGTGTCAGGGTGTCCTAGACCAGGCCAGGTTTGATGACTCACCAAGAGGACCCGAGGGACTCCGCACAGGGTCGCAGTCATGGCGGTGATGTATCACAGTAAAAGGGCACAAAATCGACAGGAGGCAAGGGCCCGAGGGGTGGAGACCAGAGGCGCACACTTCACGGAGAGCCATACAGAGCAATGACCCCTCCCTTACCTGGCACACATCATTTATGAGGGGCGCACACACAGACTGTGTTCCTGGGGACCTGTCACCTAGGCTCCTGTGCCTAGCACACAGCACAGTCGTGTGCTCCCAAGGGCAGGCATGGCAGTGCAGCGCGGTGAGCCCCCTAAACACTTAGGGCAAGCACCGGGACCCGTTCACCCTGAGTCCTGGGATGCCAGCCGACAGCACAGGAGGCCCAGGAGGAGACCAGATCATAAATGACGCTGAGAAACTCCCCAAGGACCATGGGGAGCCATGGGAGGGAGGCCTGCTGGGCCACACCCTTCCCAGAGCGCCCCCCCCTCCGCTATGTTGGTTTTCATTTTCTCTGGTGCTGGGAGGGGATCCAGGGCCTAGGACCTGCTGAGCTGCACCTCGGGCCCTTGGATTCATTCTTCCCTGTTTTTTTCCTGCCTCTTCCTGGTCAGTCATTGCTGGAAGAGCTTCTGAGGAGCCCATGTCTTCCTCTAAGATAACGACCCACAGCTTTTTCACATTTTGGGCCTGTGTCCACCCACCCACCCAGCCACCCAGTCAGTCACCCACCAATTTGTTCACCTGTCCATCACCCCTCTATTCATCTGCCAATCATCCAGGGGTCCTGGAGCCAGTCCATCTACGGGGCCACCAGCTTGTGCAAGCTCCTCTCCTAGGTGCTTGGCACATGTGAGTTCCACATGACCCCATGACAGCATGAGAAGTGGGCTCTGTCACTGACCCCCAGAGGTCCATGGCAATGTGAGTGGCAGGTCCAGGGCTCCCTCCCAGATGTGTCCGCCCCCACCACTACTCTCCTCATTCTTAGTCCTGTCCCTCCTGTGCCCTTTGCCCTCAGAATGATCTGTCAGGGTCATGTTCTTTGTGATCTCTGGACCCCTCATCCAACTGTCCACCCACCTGATCCATTTCTAATCTTTAGTAGACTTCCTGACTACAGCCTGAAACGGGCACCATGCTGGAGACCAGAGGGGAGCAGTGACCACAACTGTGTTCACCCTTTGTTAGTCAGCTTTTAATTATTTTGTCACTGTGACCAAATGATCTGGCAAGAAAAATTGGAGGAGGAAAAGTTTATTTGGGGATCACAGTTTCAGAGGTCTCAGTCCATGGATGGCTCATCCCATTGCTTTGGACCCAAGGTGAGGTTCACATCATGGCGGGAGAGGATGGTGGCGGAAGAGGGTGGCGGAGGAGGGCAGCTGGGACACGGCCACAAGGAAGCAGGATGTCACCCAGGATGACATATACCCCCAGATCACACCCATGACCCACCTTCTCCAGCCACACCCACCTGCCCACAGCTACCACCCTCTCGGGGTCAGTGCACCATTTAGGTTGAGGCCCTCATAAGCCAGTCACTTCACCTCTCAACCTTCCTGCCTTGTCTCACGTCTGGGCTTCTGGGGGACACATCACATCCAAACCATAACATCCCTGATGTCGTGTGGCTTACATTCTGGGTACAGAGCCCTGGAAAACACACATACAAAGGACACAAACACTTCGCACTGGGCAGACCCTTGGGAGGAAACACAGACACGGGATGGAGGAGGCCAACGAAGGTCTCAGGAGAGGGGACACAAGACTAGTGGTGCAGGCACCAGGCATCCAGATAGCAAGAGCAGCCAAGGCAAGGCTGGGGGTGGGACGGCTGGGCTGGAGTGCAGAGGGGTCCTGGAGTCAGTCCTCCAGGGACACTGAGGGACCAACTGACCACATGCCAGGAGCTGGAGAGGCAGAAAGGACACAGTGGGAATAAGACAGAGATCCTGTCCTCACAGAGTTGACCCTTCAGGGGATCCAACAAGTGAGAAAACACAGAAGCCCAGTGCAGTGGCCCACGCCTGTAATCCAGCAGCTCCGGAGGCTGAGGCAGAAGGATCGCGGGTTCAAACCCAGACTCGGCAACAGCGAGGCCCTAAGCAACTCAGTCTGTCTCTAAATAAATACAAAAATGGGCTGGGGATGTGGCTCCGTGGTCAAGTGCCCCTGAGCTCAATCCCTGGTACCCCTCAATTTGAAAAAAATAAAAATAAAACACAGAAGTTAAGCAGATTCTTAAACTTCTTTTTAAAGTTGATTCTTTGGTTCTCAGAAACCCAAGAGCACAAAGAAAATAAAAGAGGGTAATTGACAGGCAGTGACCCAGGGCTGCTTTATCTAGGGTGGTCAGGGTGGGCCTGTTGGAGGAGGTGACACGAGGGAACCTGTCACAGGAGGCCCTGGAGGAGACCAGATCATAAATGATGCTGAGAAACTTCAGCTTGACCCCAAGGACCATGAGGAGCCACATCATGTGAGCCACATCATGTCATGTGCCCAGAAAGACCTAGAAAGAACCTTCTGATTGCCATGTGGAGGCCAAATCAGAGAGATAAGTCTAGGTTCAGGGATTCTGTGATTCTAGGGTAGTGAGAGTGAGACTCAGAGAAGAACTTCCTTGAAGGTTCTCATTCCTTGAACTCACCAAGCTCTGAGCCCTCCTAAGAATCTTCTGTCCCCAGACTAACTTGGCCACTGCCTTGACCTTCATTCTTCTCAACCGTCACCTCTACAGAGAGGCCTTCCCTGGCTACCCACCTAACGCAGGACCCCCATCTCCGTGCCTGATGTGCCTTCTTCCAGCCGCAATGGTAATACGCGGATTTCTTCTTCTGTTTACTTGTATATCTTGTTTTCTTTCCTCTCTTTGTCTGACTCCTCCTTGAAAAGCTCCCTGGGGCCAGGGTTTTGTGTCAGCAGAGCCTCGCCCAGGGTCTGGCACTTAGTGAATACTGAATTAGGTCTTGGTGAAGTGGAAACACAGAAGCCCGGTGCAGTGGCCCACGCCTGTAATCCATCTTTTGGAAAAACCCAGCGCCCGCCCTCCCGGGACAGGGCCACCATGCTGTGGAGCACACGCTATCTGCCTGACCCGGAGCAGAAGGGCTCCTCACTGTCACTGTTTCTTCTCTAGCTCTCAAGACAAAAAGGCAAAGGAAGAATAGCAAGGGAGAGAGTTTTGAGAGCTACCAGGTGGCCCACCTCCGGCTGATGAAGCTGGTGGAGGATGGGAACCTGAGCCAGCTCATTGAGGATTTCCTGGCCAAGGAGGAGAAGAACTTTGCCCGGTTTACTTACATCATGGAGCTCAACAACGACATGGAGATGATGAACAAGAAGACCCAAGGGATCCAGGTTGGGACAGCTCTTGTTTGCCTGGGTCTGGGACCACCTGTTCCCACAGCAGCCCTCCCTAGGGCAGCCTCCCTGGGATGTTCCAGACATACTCTGAAGTGAAAAGGGCCCCAAGGTCACACCAGCCTAGCAAGCATCGCTGTGTGTCCCCCGCACTCCCCCTACGATCTAACTTTTCTGAAACTGGCATTTGTGTCTCATTTAAGACGTACATTTAATGGGTTCGGGTCCCCTCTATCTCCAGTAGGGACACTTATAATCCATGGCATACTTTATAATCCAGAGAGATGTAAAGCATAAAATATTTACTATTTATGATATATCTGGCCCTTATTCCCCTGCTGCAGGGCGGGTCCCAGGCTGCAGACTGGACAAATGCAGCCTGCCTTCTTTTTTGCTCCTCCACTTGCTAATTTGCTAATTTATTAGTTTCCAACGTTTGAAAAATCAGTATATTCCACATGCAAATCGCATTTCCTGTTTCTCTTGGAAAATCAGATCTGACCACTCTGGCCCTTATTCCCCCGCGAAGCCGAGTTCTTCCCCCGCCGTCTGCGCCAGGCTCGCTACTGGCCCGCGCAAGCCCGCCAGGCCTCTCGGGCTCGGCGCATCGCCGCTGCCCCCTGGTGGTCAAGTGCGGCACTGCATGGGCTCTGCGGGCCGAGCGCGGTGAAGGGAGAGTGGGCAGGTGAGGCCTGAGTTTCCACTCTGCAGGAGGGAGCGTCTCTCTAGACCCAGTGGGACAAGGACAAGCCATAGCAAAAGATGTGAGGACTCCAGGGTTTTTTTTTTTTTTTTTTTTGGTACTGGGATTGAACCCGGGCACTGTACCACCGAGTCACATCCCCAGCCCTTTTTATTTTGAAATAGGATCTTGCTAAACTGCCCAGGCTCGCCTCCAACTTGTCATCCTCCTGCCTCAGCCTCCAAAGTTGCCAGAATTACAGGCATACACCACTTGAAGACCCGGCTTCCCTGTGGTCTCTGAAGCTGGGACCTTGTTAGAAATGCACATTCTTGGATTCAGAAACTCTGTGATCAGCGTTTTCACAAGCCTCCAGGGGATTCTTGCTAGAGTCTGAGAACTCCTGCTCCGGAGCTGCCCAGACCAGTGCAGTAGCCACTAGCCACATGTAGCTATTTAAGTTTAAATTCATTGCAATTAAATAAAATTGAAAAACCAGTTCCTCAGTGGCACTAGCCACATTCTAATACCCATATGTGATGACCACACTCCGTATTACTGCAGGTTGAAGGTCCCCACTATTCACAGAAGATGCTGGTGACAGCCCCCTAGGGAATCTCCAGAATGGATGCCTCACACCCTCCCATACCATCATTCTGCTCTTCATTAAGAAACCTCAGAACTTCCGAAGCTTAGGAGCGGCTCTGAGGTTCTAAGACTCTTGAACAGGTCATTTAACTCCTGATTGGGACCAGGTGTGGTGGAGCACGCCTGTAATCCCAGCAGCTCAGATGGGAGGCTGAGGCAGGAGGATCACAAGTTCAAGGCCAGCCTCAGCAACTCAGCAAGCCCCTGTCTCAAAATAAAAAATAACAAGGGCTGAGGAGGTGGCTCAGTGGTCAAGTGCTCCTGGGTTCAATCCCTGGTACAAAACAAACAAACAAACAAAAAACACCTCTTAGGCCTCTGGAGGCACAGCTTCTTTTGAGGTGTGGTAGGGGAGAGGAGCACCCCGTTTCATCACAGTGGATTTTCTCCCCGGCAGGATGAGATCACCCACCTGCGATCCCAGCAGCAGTCTTCCCACGATGACAGCCGCTCTGTCCTGAAGGAGCTCGAGGTGAGCCGGGTGCAGAGCATGGGATGGGGGGTCTCTGTTGTCTGTGGGTCAGGCAGCCCGTCAGCTGGTACCTGGAGCAGGAAGCTGTTAGCCCCATGACCCGAGGCTGGCCTGGGTGACATCCAGACATGTTTCCTGAGCAGGTACTATGTGCCAGGCACTGGACTCAGTGCTTGGAAGTGGACGCTGTTGATCTCTCCAACTTACAGATGAGGAAACTGAGGTTCACAGAGGTAAAATCACTTGACCAACCTAAAGGAGCTGGGATGTGTTATGACATTTAAGTTGTACTTGGCAGCTAATAACAAGGACCCAAGATAACAGTGGCCTAAGCAAGACAGAAGTTTCCTGGTTAAATACATCGGAAGATTGGCACTTCAGGGCTGGTAGGGTTCCATCATGATGTCATCCATGGCCCAGGCTCCTTCTAGCTTTCTAGTTTGCCATCCTGAGTGTGTGCGTGGCTTACATTCCAAATGTGCCAGGTCATTTAACTCCTGATTGGAGCATACCTGTAATCCCAGCAGCTCCTTGTGGTTGCATCATAGCTTCCACAGGTCCAGCCATCACATATACATTCCAGGCAGGGAGAAACTGGGGAGTAAACAAACATAAAGGGTGGGGGAGGGGGTCTTGCTATCTGTCAACCAGCTTAAGTTATTTTCCAGAAGATTCAGCTAAATAATTTCTGTATTTACATCTCATTGGCCATCCATGTTGCAAAACAGGTTTGGAATATAACTTAGGGGCCCTCATTGCCACCCCACAGTCAGTCAGGTCTTGTCATTAAGGCATAAGGGGAGAATGGATAGCAAATACTTGTCAAAACCTTGAACTTCTCAGGAGGTCTGACCAACTTCCTCCTCTAATCCAGAGTTCCTGGCCCAGGAACCGTTCTCCTGGGGCACCTCCCATTCCCCCTTTGTGGCTTGTGTCAGGGTCCCTGGGACACCGGCTCCACATGGATGAAGGTGCTATCCTCCGACTGACCACTGGAGGGCAGCAGAGCACGTGCTGCCACCGAGGTGCTTGGGCTCAGAGCCGTAGCGAGGGGGGAAGGCGAAGGGGCCCTGCAGACCCCCAGGCAGGATCCAGGTCTTAGGAGGACTCCCACCCCAACGAAGAATACTTGCCTGCGGTCCCACATCCTCGCTTGGGGCCACCCAGAGTCCAGACTCTTCTTTGGGGTGGAGACAGGCATTGCCGGGGTGGGGGGGCAGTGGAGAGGCTGCTAGCCCCCCTCTGCCTGTGGTCCCTGCATTAGCTCTTTGTTCCTTAGGTTTTAGCTTGACTTGGGGACTCCTTTTCCAGTGCAAATATCTAAGCGGGAGAATCTGTCTTAATAGCAGTAGGTTCCCAGGTTTTCCTACCCCTCCTTTCACCAGTTTCTGCCCCTCTGGGAGAAGGGGTGAGCCTACTCCCTCACTGGGATCCTGGGAAGGCTCTCAGAACAGTTGCTTCCTAGCTGTGTGACCTTGGAACAGTGAGATAACCTCTCTGAGCCTCAGGTTTCTCATCTGTAAAATGGGACAATCATCCTACCTGCTGCTCATGGCTGGGGAGACTTGTAAAACCGTGACTTGTGCCTGTGACCTCCTGAGCCCCGTGTGGCCCTCCGTGGTTCTCCTAGGGCCCAGGCCTGCTTTGCAGTCCGAGAACTCAGGGAGCGGGAGGCAGGATGGGATGCAGCCATTCTCATTTCCAGCCGCAGGTCAGAATCCCTGGAGTCCTCAAAGTTCCCTGCTGCGCCGGTCACAACTGGTCACAACTGGAGCCAGTGAGATCTGACCCCCAGAGGGTGAAGCACAGGTTGCAAATATTGTAAAGCTCCCTGGTGACCACAATGTGTCACCCAGGCTGAGATACAGTGGGCTCCCAGAGAGTCTCAAACTTCTCTGTGCACCAGTGTCACCTGGAGACTCAGATGCCTGCCCCAGCCCTATCCCGCAGGTCTGGGTGGGCCCCAGAGCTTGTACCACGCCCAAGTTCCCCGGTGACCTGACCCTGCCTGTCTGGGGACCCCGCTTTGGAAACCACTGGGCTGGTGCAGATGTTCTAGACCATGGATGGTGAGAACTGTTTATGGGATGGCAGCCAGCACCTGCAGCTCCTAGGATGGGAGGAACAGAAAAGGAAAACAGAGAACACCTTTGGACACTGGCTGGTGAGGCCTGATTCCATGCGATCAGGTGACACACAGAGCTGTGTCCTGCGCCGCGCTCCTTCCTTTTCAGAAAGCCCAGGTGAGGACTCACCTTAAGGGGAATGAGGCAGTGGGCCCCGCACAGTGTGGTGCCTCTCTTCTAAATGCACAACTGGGGCCATTTAACTGGTCCTGCCCCCCTCTGAGGGGTGAAGCCAGTGACTGGAGATCCAGATCCCCGAGAGTCCCCGGCCCCCTCCCCTGGAGAGTCCCGTCCAGCGGGCTGACTCCGGGGAACTGGTGTCCACCCCCAGGAGAAGCTGAGGAAGACCACGGAGGAGGCCAACATGTACGAGGACAAAAACCGCGAGCTCAGAAAGACCCTGGAGCATCTCAAGACCTTGGTGGAGAATCTGTTCAAGAAGATCAACTGCGACGCCTCCAAGATACTGGTGCAGTTGGGGGAGACGGGGAAAGTCACCGACTCCAACCTGTCCCAGTATTTCTGTGAGTCGCCCTGGGGCCGTCCAACGCTTAGCAAGCTTTTCCAGTGCTTTCCTTGACCAGGCTTGAGAACTCATTCCTGCAGAGGTGGTGAGCCTGGGGGTGAAGCCCGGGCACCAGAGCCAGGCTGCGTGGGTTCAAATCCCGGTTACGCCCTGACTAGCTGCGTGGTCCCCGACAAGGTGGTTTTAATTTTTTGTTTTGTTTGTTTTTTAGGGCTCTTTTCCTTTTTCTTTTTTTAAATATGGTCTTCCCAGTCAAACAGGACAGTAGAATGTCTTTGGACATAGCATACATACCGTTATAACTTCCCATTCTGTGGTTGTACATGTGTGGAGTCTCCCTGGTTGTGTGTTCCTCTAGGAGCATGGGAAAGTCACGTCCGATTCATCCCTCTGTCTTTCCTATTCCCATCCCCACTCTCTTCCATTCATTCCCCTTTGTCTAATCCAATGAACTTTTATTCTCCCCACCCACTTATTGTAGATTAGCATCTGAATATCGGAGAGAAAATTCGGCCTTTGGTTTTTTGGGATTGGTTTATTTCACTTAGCATGATTGTCTCCAGTTTTGTCCATTTACCCACAAATGCTACAATTTCATTCTTCTTTATGCTGAGTAATATTCCATTGTGGATGTATGCTACATTTTTTAATCCATTCATCTGTTGAAGGGCACCTAGGTTGGCTCCATAGCTTAGCTATTGTTAATTGTGCTGCTGTAAATATTGACGTGGCCGCATCACTGTAGTATGCTGATTTTAAGTCCTTTGGGTATATGCTGAGGAGTGGGATAACTGGGTCAAATGGTGGTTCCATTCCAAGTTTTCTGAGGAATCTCCATACTGCTTTCCAGAATGGTTGCGCCAATTTGCAGTCCCACCAGCAGTATGAGTGTGCCTTTCCCCAACATCCTCACCAACATTTATTGTTATCTGTATTCTTCTAGGCAAGTTTTTGAACATCTCTGTGCTTTCTGTTCTTAAATATTGGGGGGGAAAAGCAGGGTTAAACCCTAGAATTACTTCATAAAACTATTGGGAGGAATAAATAAATGAATAGTTCTTTGAGGAAAAACTTCAGGGTCATTGCAATAGATACAAAAAAGCATTTACTAAAATTCAGGATCCCTTTATGATAAACACTCCCAACCAGTTAGAACTGTTAGAAGAGAGCCTTCTTAACTTGATAAAGGCATCCACAAACAAACAAACCAAAAAACCCACAGCTAACCTCATACTTAATGGTAAAAAGCTGAATACCTTTCTTCTAAGATAAGGAGCAAAGCAAAGCTTTTGCTCTCTATTCTTATTCAATGTCATAATGAGGTCCTAGACGATGCAATAAGGCAAGAAAAAGAAATAAAAGGCACACCAATTGAAAAGGAGGAACTAAAGTGTACAGAACGGTGCCTAGTGTAGCAAATGCCTGGTGACTGTTGCCTGCGTTTCTAGGCAGGGCCCTGAGCTCAGGGTGCAGAGGGAGGGCACACCTACCCCGATGGAGTCCACTTGGAGTGAATGGCTTCATTGCTCTTAGAGTTGACCCTGAGATTCTTCATAGAATCTGGTTAGTGGTGGGTTACAAGGATTTACAGGCATAGCACATAGTGGTACTTGTAGCTACAGTTGATCTCAGTGAAAGGGTTCAAGGTGAAAGCAGCACAGAGAGAAACATCCGTTCAGAAACCACATGATCAACCGTCCAGGGTGGGCCACCCTGACCAGGTCCTGGTGGTGGGATCCTTGAGATCCAAGTTCCAAGATGCTGGCCACCTCACCACCACATCTCAGTTCCTGCCTCAGGGCCTTTGCCCAGGCTGTTTCTGGAACACTGGTCCATGTGCCCAGTTCCTCCTCATTCTCAGACCTCAGTGTGTGTCCTTTTCTCCCATGAGACCTCCCTGCACTGCCCCATGTGAAGCTACCCTGTCACCCCTGCTCCTGGGAGTGCTGTGATTTGACATTCCCCATTTGTGAGTAGAGAAAGCTTTTTCTATCCGAGGCTATGAGGTTCCCAAGAGCCGGTAGCACAGTTCAGCTGCGAATATTTCTGGTCTGATTTTTAGATAGAATCAGTTTGGGGTGTGTGCATTTTGTTGTTGTTGTTTTTTAAATGATCCAAATCCAGGAGTTACTGAGATTAGAGAAGGCACTTCCCCCAGATGGCGAGGTCCCTGGAATCCACCCTCCCCTGGCTGGTTCCTCCATGCACACGGAAGGAGGGACTGCTCCCCAGAACTCTTCAAACGCCAGGCCGTTGCTCAGGGAGGGCTGTAGGAAACAGCATCCCAGGCAGAAGGAACTGCATGAGCAAGGACCCAGCGACCAGCACAGAGTGCAGATTGGGGAAAAGAGTTTAAGGCTGGGCTCTTCCCCCTTCCCAGTTCCCAATTCTCCGTCTAACCCACGTCTCAATCCTTCTTTCACTATGGCCCCCTGAGGAGCCTTCAGGATGTTCTTTTTCTAGTGTCCCTCCTGGCGAGATCTGCACCCCAGGTGTCCAGGCTGTGTGTCCATCTTGCTTCATGAGTCAGAGGTTCTGTTTTTGCTTCTCAAGGGGGACCACAGGGTGTGACCCAGAGAAAGCGGGTCCTGGGGGGCTCTCGCAGGCAGGTCCCCACAGCCACCCCCCCCCCCCCCCCCCCCCCCCCGCTCTCTCGCAGCCCTCATCGAGAAGAAGACCAACGACCTGTTGCTGCTGGAGGCCTACATGCGAATGCAGGAAATGGACATGGACACCGAGCCGCCCCCGCCCTTCCTCAACCCTTTCTGGGGCGGCTCTGCCCTCGTGAAGCTCCCAGAACCCCTCAAGGTCACCCCGCCCTTGCTGAGGACTGACCCCTTCAGCGACAAGATAGAGGACAGTGAGTGCCTGCCCCTCTGGGTGGGGCGTCCTGGCCAGTGCCCTGGGGACTGTCTCTCCTGCTGGGGGTCATCTGCCTGTAGCCCTTCTACATGGTTTCTGGGGACAGCAGAGCCGGGCCTTTTCCCTAGGCAGGGCCTCCCATCGGCCCCACTAGCCTTTGGAGGGCAGTTTGGTAACACTGAGGTCAGAGAAGGCACTTCCCCTGGATGGTGGGGTGGTGCTGGACAATTACATATAATAGCGGGGAGAGGGAGGAGGAGGTGGGAGGAGGAGGGAGAAGGAGGGAGGAGGAGGGAGGAGTGGGGAGGAGGGAGGCCTCTAGGTCATCAAAGTCAAGTGGGTACATAAGCCGGCGGGCCACCTCGGGAGTGTGGAGTGTCTCTGGTGGTGGGTTGTGGAGTGCTTTGCATCTAATTTTAACAATTCTGTCTGTTTGTTGTGGGCGGGGGGGGGGAGGGGGGTTTGGACCCAGGGGCGCTCTACCACTGAGCTCCTCTTCCAGCCCTTTACATTTTGAGACAGGGGCCGGCTGAGTTGCTGAGGCTGGTCTTTCCATCCCTCTGCCTCAGTGTACTGTCAGGGACTCACAGATGAGGTCTTTTCTTCTGTCCAAGGGAGTGTGGCTGCACCATGGGTGTGGATTAGAAGGGGTGCCACTTGTGGGCAGGTTAATTTGGGAAAGGTGCCCTTCTGAATAGACATGACCTGGCAATCAAATAGGAGTTGACTTTCAGCCCCTCCACTCACCCCTGGCCTCTTTGTGCAGTGCATATCCTGAACAACTGCACATCACAGCCTTGTCTCTTTGATATTAACCAAACACCCTTGACATTCTTATCCGGGAGGAGAAACAGTGATTGTCTGGACATCCCTGGAAGCAACCTCTGCCAGTGGTTCCCTTCCCAGCCCTGAGGATTCTCACGCCCCACCCCCCAGTGTTGTAGAGGTACCCAGCCAGGCTCGGGTCTCCTTGCCTCAGGTGCCCGTGAGCAGGGCAGAGCCACCTGCTCATAAGTGTTCCCCCTCTGCAGTGGAGCAGCCCCTGGATCACGGCAGCCTGCGGCAGCTGGTGCTGGACAATTATGCCCAGAAGGAAGTTGGCGGGCCCACAGCCTCACCAAGCGAAGCCCGAGGCCGGCGCGACCAACCGAAAGAATAAAGGTTTTGTTCCTAACCTCAGTGCCTCGATGCCTCGGTGCCTTCTCCTTCTCGGCTGCTGAGGGAGCGGGCACTGGGCCCAGGCAGGTGGGGGTGAGAAGGCCCGGTCCCAGGGCCGCCGCAGGAGAGGGACCAGGGGTCAGTGCTACCGTGGACCTTCGAGCAGGTGGCCAGAGGCGCAGCAGGGGGCCGGCCTGTGTGTCGCCCATGAGTCTCCAATCCGGGGCTCCATGCCCATGTCAGGGGCTGTGCGCCCGCGTGCACACCTCTCTGTCCCTCTCCCCGGTCAGCTGTCACTTCACAGCCCCATCCCGGTTGTCCTGCCTGAGCCACCCTCTGCCTTCCTGGGTGAGCTGAGCCACGGGGGCTGCCTGTCCCTGCAGGGGCCCAGCACAGGTTCTCTGGAAGGACTGGGAGGTCATGGGGGACACACTGTGGCAGGGTGTGGGCTGACACAGGCCCTGAATGCCCTGGGTCCTGCCCCACCCCCAGCACTGGATGGCTTTGTAGGTGGCCCCAGCTCCCAGCATCCAGGGTGACATCAGGAGCTGCAGGGACAGTCCCACCTGGCTCCTCCAGCCTCTGGGACCCTTTGTTCCCTGCACGTGTCCCCAGCTCCACTGTCTCACAAGCGGGGATCTTTGCTGCTTTGTCACCATTCACCCCGGCCTTGTCCCGATTCTTGGGGATTCCCTCCCTGGGAACCCCCTTCCCTTCTCCTCTGTGGTCCTTGGGGGAGTTGTCCCCCCATCCTCAGGCCACGAGGGCAGAGGGCTGATCAGGTGACCCAGGCCTGCCAATCAGAGCACTGCACTGGCCAATCCCCAGCAGTTAGCTCAGGGTTGGATCAGGTACCCCAGAGAGACCCCAGGAAGGACCTATTCAATACTTGTGTGAGGCTGGGAAGACAGAAGTTTGCCGAGTGGGTAGAAGAGCTGGGAGCTGCTGAGAGCCATTTTGCCATCACTGAGAGCAGAGCAACCTACAAGAAAGAGCTGTGGGGAGGCCGCCACAGGGTTGGGTGCATTGTTTGAGTTCCTGGAGGCAGCTGTGCCTGAAGTCCTTGGACTTACTGGTTTTGTGAACCCAGTTGTTTCTTAAGTTTGGATTCTTGCAGCCATAATAGACCTGAGTGCTTCAATATGAGTCAACTCAAGCCCAGGCCTGGGCTCCAGACAGGAGCAGAGATCAGCCCCCCTCCCCCAATTTGCTAGGAGAGAAGTACAACTTGTACTTTATCTGACCTGAAATGGCCCTCTTATGGTTAACAGGCACGATTTTTGCCTGGTGAGCTATGTTCTTAGCCCTCTTCACTCTCACGGGGCCCATCGCAGCCTCTGGGAGACGATCCCCATGGCGTTCCCAAAGGAAGGGTGTCATGAAGCCGGGCTCTATGAACACTTGAGCTGTTGGGAAGCAAGGGCTGTGGTATCCAGTTAATAGGCCCTTGATTGGGACAGTCCTAAGTGAATGCAAAGGTCTATCTCAAATAAAGAGTCACTAAGATTCAAGATAAGGACAAAAGGGTCAGCACTAGCTCATATGCCGCCTTTGTGCAGATCAGCAAAAGGCCCTCCTTTCCCAAGGCGCTTCTGTCTGAGGAACGTCATGACCAGCACACAAGCTCCTGTTTATTTGAACTTGGCCTCGGGATGGATTTCCAGCTGCAGGCTGTGTGGCCACGTGGTCATCTGTAAGTATCCAGATGGAGACAGAGGCGGGGCAGGGTGGAGGCCAGGCAGGGTAGAGGCTGACTGGGAAGGAGACCGGAAGCCCAGGTGGCTGGCCCGCTTCAGTCCTTCTCCTCCCCGTGGGTGATGATGTGCACCAGGTTCTTGTAGTCCAGGTTGCCCGTCACGTCAGGGGGGAAGGCCGTGAACATCTGGTCGATCTGCAAACACCAGCAAGATGCTGAACAAGACAGAGGGGCTGGAGCTAGGTGAGGGGCTCGTGGCCCGGATGCAGAGGCCCCTGGTTGCAGGGGTGTGGGGTGGCCATCCTGGCCTCCCCCGAGGCTGGGGCTTGGGGTCCAGCTGCCGCTGTGCAGAGTCCCCTCTCCCGAGGCCATGCCAGCTCTAGGGCAGCTCACCGGGGCCTGGTGTGGGGGTGAAGGCTCAGCCTTGTGCCCAAGCCGGACCCACAGCAGGGAGGTCCCAGGTAGAGACCCTCTCTGACCCTGAATCTCAGCTCACACCTTCCGCCCTCCTCAGGTGCTGACCCCAGCCCCCCAAGTGGACGAGCTGCTGGGACGTTCCTGGACACCCAGCCCCCACGGGGAGCAGAGGGATCAGCGACCCTTCAGGGGTCAGGTGGGTCACATGAGGGAGCCTACACCTGGCGGGGTCTGTGGCTAAGTGGGGGTGCGCAGTGGGCCAGCTGAGGGTGGCCGCGCGGGCGAGAAGCCGGAGTCTTCGAAGGAAACTAGGACTCTAGATCTGTCCTAAACACTAGATTTCCCACTTAGCAAGCGTCACTGGTTCGCTTGATACAGCTGATGCTGGTGCCGCCCAGTCCCAGAGCCGAGCTTTCCTTTCTGCCTGTTTGAGCCTCACAGAATACCTCGAGGTTCGTTCCACTCTTGTTTCCACCTTACGGATGAAGAAACCGAGGCACAAAGGTTAAGGAGCTTGTCCCAGGTCTCCCATCCGATGGGAGGTGAAGGACGCTCTTTTCATCGCTTGAGTTTTGTAGGTAAAATGTAAATAGAATTTTGAGCAAAATGGGGAACTGGATGGACACGGGCCCCAGAGGCCTCAAGATGGCTACTTTAAATGGACTCCTTAAGGCTCCTTATTAATGTTCACATGACAGTTGCTCCTTGAGGACCTTTTGGCAAATTAGCTAGAGTCCCTTCTTCTGGACTCACTACTGCCACCTGCTGGGAAATGTGTGCAACAACAGCCTGATCTAGGATGCCTGTAGGAAGGAAGGTGCGGTGTGGGGGGGTGTTGATCAGTGCTCAGGTTGCCCGACAGTCCATGATGGCCCTTCAGGGCACAGTAAATGGGCGCTCTCACGGTGTCTCAGTGCATGTGGGGAAGGCAGGACCTGGAGTCAGACAGGCCTGGGTGTGGGTACCCGCTCTGGCATTCACCATTAACATTGTCATTTTAGACAAGTGACTTACTTCCCCAGGCCTCAGTTTCCTCATCTGTAAAATGACAATGATCCTGATCCTCACAGAGTGACTGAGAGAATGAATGCGGCCAGGGCTCCCTCCCTCTCGCTCTCTGGGACGGGTGATTCAGTGGAGACAGAGCCCCTGGGAGGACCAGGCGCTGGGTGGGAGGGAGTGTCTGAAGGACCCTACCTCCTCCTTGGAGAACCTCTCTGCCTGTGTGGTCAGCATCTCCCGCACGCTGCAGAGAGAGGACAGAGGTGTAGGTGCCAGGTGGGGGCAAGGAGAGCAGGTGCCACCCGCCCCCTGGGGAAGCCACTCACTAGTCGGCCTTCAGCACCCCTTTGCCTTCCGGGTCGAACACCTTGAATGCGTTGAGGATGGTCTCCTCGGGGTCCGCCCCTGAAATGGAGAACATGGCCCACAGGTGCTGCAGGTGGCTGGGGACCGTGGCACCCAGGACGCAGGGCCCAAGACCCTTCCGAGATGGAGGGGCCAGAGCAAGCCTGCATGCCTAGCTAGGAGGAGACCCTTCCTTCCTCTGGGCACTGAGCCTGGGGTTTTGAAAGAGGGCTGAGAGGCCAGGTGTGTCTGAACTAACTGCAGGTCAAGTTTGATCTAGGTTTCAGAAAGATGTGGGTCTTGACTCTGAACCCTGCTAGCTGTGTGGCCTCAGGCAAGTGACTTTCTGTCTCTGAGCCTAGGTTCCCCACCCACAGATGGGGGAAAAGAGTGAAACCTACATCCTAGGTGCTGCTCAATGAGGTAAGGCACCCAAGTGCTTAGCATGAGCCTTGGAGGGACGACAGCTGACATTTCTATCCTGTTTTCCCTCCAGTTCCCTGGTGCGTCCTTGGGAGCTGCCCACTTTCTCCCAGCCCTGTCCATCTAGTGCTTAAATTGACACCCAGAGCCGAAGACATGCTAAGAGGCACACACATGAGCACATGCATGCGTGCACACACACACACACACACACACACAGGAGCATGCGCACAGGCCTACCCTTGAGTTTCTCCCCAAACATTGTCAGGAACACGGTGAAGTTAATGGGCCCCGGGGCCTCCTTGATCATTTCATCGATTTCCTCGTTCTTCACGTTCACACGCCCTGCAGTGGGGACACGGGGCCTCAGTGCTGGCAGAGGGACAGCGGCTGACATTTGTCATTGTGCCTCAAGGAATCTCCTCCAGAAACAGTCAGAAATGGGGAGGACGGGGCCAGAGTTCCCTGGGGAGATGCTCCCCACGGGCCGGACAGCCAGGCGCAGCCCCACAGCCCGTGGGGGGACGGGCTGGTTCTGGGGACTGAACCCAGGGGCACTTTACCCCTGAGCCGCATCCCCAGCCCTTTCTGTCCTTATTTTTTTGAGACAGGATCTCAGTGGGTCGCGGAGATTCTGACACACCTGCTCTTGGTCCTGCTGATGCCTTTATAACCCCCTATGCAAATAAGAACAAGCTGCCCCTGGCGACCCTCTCTGTTTTAGATATAAAAAGCTAGGGTAGCTATTCGCGGTGACCCTGAGTTCTGAGGATAGGGATCGGTGGCGGTGGGTGGGGGTGGCAGATTGGACACGTATATTTTGAAAGAAGCTCCGTGCTCTCCCGATCACACCCTCGAGATGTTAAATAAAGCTGAGTCCAGAATAGAACGATCCCAGTTATTTGAAAAAAACAACAGATATGCCTAGAAAGACTCCAAGAGAGAAACTGAAAGGTTAATGCGGAATGTGGCCTTTCGGGGGACCGTCGTCCTCTCCCGTATGTTTTGCAGAATGTCTGCTTTCTAGTGAGAGCTGGCCGCGCCGGAGCTGCTCCTAAGAAAACTGAAAGGTATGGGAAAGCGTCTGTCCCCTCCTCTGAAGTTGTCTGAAGGTCAGTTGTGGCGCCGTCTTTCTTTGGGAAAGGACAAGCTGTTGGCTTTTTCTGAGGGTCTCCCCTCCCACCCGGGGGCTATGGGACAAGGGACCTGCCAGTGGCTGGCAGGTGACATACCAAGGGCGGCAAAAGTGTCCCTCAGATCGTTCTTGTCAATGAAGCCGTCCCTGTTCTGGTCCATGATGGTGAAGGCCTGTGGAAGGGAAGGGACCGGCTGGTCAGTCCAGGAGGCTGGGCTGAGGGTTGGGGCACCCAGGCTTCTGGGATCTTCTGCACTCAGCCCAGGCACAGCCACAGGGGGCAGGTGGGAAGGGCTGCTCACAGGACTGAGGTTCTTTTGAGGGTGATGGGAGTGTCCTGCCATTGGAGAGCAGTGACAGTGGAAACCTCCTGACCTTAATAAAAACCACGAATGAGGGCTGGGGATGTGGCTCAAGCAGTAGCACGCTGGCCTGGCATGCATGCTGCCCGGGTTCGATTCTCAGCACCACATACAAACAAAGATGTTGTGTCCGCCAAAAACTAAAAAAAAATAAATAAATAAAAATTCTCTCTCTCTTAAAAAAAAGATATTTAAAAATAAAATAAAGTTGTTGTGTCCACCGAAAACTAAAAAATAAATATTAAAAAATTCTCTCTCTTAAAAAAAACAAAAAAACACGAATGGCACCCTTCACCTGAAGAGGCCAACATCCTGATATGTGAATTACACCTCCATGAAACTCCTGTTTTTTTTTTTAGGTGAAATCCTGGAGTCTCATGTGGTCTCCCCACTCCCATGCCTGGGCCATCTGTAAAGCAGGGTAGGCCGGTCACCTCCCCAGCTGACCCCAGGGAGATGCCCAGAGCTCTGTAATCGCTCAGGCATGTCACAAATGGGGCTTCAGGGTACACTTTTTGAGTGCTTTGCTACAGCTGGTTTCTGGAAGTATTTGCACCTGCTGTGCCCGCCCCCCCCCCCCCAGCAGCTGACCTCAGCCCAGGGTGGGGAGACGGAGCTGGGGGTGGCCTTGCCCCTGGATGGTGGCACTGTATCCCTCTTTTCCTGGTGGCCCATGGGACCGGCCTGCCAGCAAATCTGAATGCTCCTGTCTGCGAGCCCCAACCTGGTCTCTCAGCATGTTCCCTCCCCAGGGCCAAGTGGGCGTGTGGTTGGCCCAGTGCGAGCCCTCACTGCTGCTGGACATTAATGCAGTCTGTCCTTCTCAGCCCGTGGGCAGTGGCTGCGTCCTGCCCGACTGTCCTGAGGTTTGCTTAGTAGTCCCCACGGTGGGACCACACGTCCAACGGAGCTGGTGCTCCGTCATCAGACTGTACATAGAATGGGGGGTGGGTGGGGGTGGGGGTATATAAAAAGAAACAGAGAGGGAATTTCATCAAAACAGAGGGAAAGTCAGTGGAGGAGACAAAGGGACTGAGGAGGGAGGATCCAACTGAAGCTGGGTATGTGCATCGAGGGTGTGGCACATGGGAAGCTGATTAAAAAAGAAAAGAAACTAAACGGATTAAGAGGGGTGTGTGGGGTGGTGCTGGACAGAGTTGAAGCGGCTGGGCTGGGTTCCCTGCTTTTGTGATAATGTCAGGGTGCACCCTGGTGGTGCACATAACTAAAAAGGACACATTTTGCAAAGACTGTAGGTTTTAAAGCTCAGAACATGCTGCTTTTCCCTCTCAGGTTGGAAAAAAAGTTGACTATTGCTATCTAATTACCCAATATTGATGGAAATGTGGGGGAAAGGCAGTTTCTTCTTGGGGCTGTGGGGACAGGGATTCGTAGTATAGGATTCTGGACTGGGGTTTGCCTCAGCAGCTCTGCTCGCTTTCTCTCCCCCTCCTCCCCCTCCCTCCTCCCCCTCCCTCCTCCCTCTCCCTCCTCCCCCTCCCTCCTCTCTCTCCCTCCTGCTCCTCCTCCTCCTCCCTCCTCCCCCCTCCTGCCCCTCCTCCCCCTCCCCTCCCGCCTCCCCCTCTCTCTTTCTTTAAGTTCCTTGCACCCTGGGGGTTCTGCTGCTGGGAATTCACCCCCAGGAAATCATCAGAGATAGGAGCAATGAGGTGATCTTTATGATAATAAAACATTCCAAACAAATGCACCAAGAAGTCATTTAACTAGATATAGGAAAATGCTGACACTGAAGTGCTCAAAGGAAAAAAAAATGTAGGCACTTATGGGGGTGCAACTTTGATCAGTAGATACACACGTCACAAAGATGACTCCCAGGCTATGTCCTGACACAGGGACTGATTATTTCCAAGGGGTAGAATTGAAGGTGCTTTTCTAAAAAAAGTTTTTCAACCAGGAATACGTTTTAGCTGGATGATCAGCAGAAGTTTTTAAAGATGACCTCCTTAAAAGGTTCCCACACACATTCCCACTGAACCTGGATGTTCAGAGGACAGAAAGGTCCCTGCTGGGAGCAGGGAAGGCAGGAGGGCCTGTCTCTGGCTGAGATTTCCACCCAGGGCCTTGCCTGGCCAGCTCACCCACCTCCTTAAACTCCTGGATCTGCGTCTGTTCAAACATGGAGAACACGTTGGAGTTGGCCCCCTCTGCCCTCTTCTTGGCTTTCTTAGGCGACTGGGGAGAAGAGCATCGATTAGAGGAGGCAGAGGCTGGGAATTAGAAAACCAGGCCACCCTGGGTGAGGGCTGGGCCTGCTCAGTGGCTGCCGTGACAAGGGGCCCCACTCATCTCGTGGTGCTGCTGGACGGGGAGAGGCCTGGAAGTAGTTTCTGGCCTATTGCAAGAGACCGTGGCTCTTGTGGCCCCTCCTCTGCAAGCTGGGAGCCAGCTTGGTCGGGGTCAGAGGCCACACCTGCAGATCAGCCAGGTGGCACCCATCCTCAGGACAGCACATGAGAAGAATCGACTGGAGGGAAGGAAAAAGTCAGGCTCACCAAGCCATCAGGAGTGCCGAGATGAAATGACGCCCTTCTAGGGCGTTACAACCCATCTGCTCCCCGCCCCACAACTTTCCCTTGATCCAAATGGCAGTGAAATCGCCTTCCTAAATGTCCCATCCTTGTACCATGTCAACGGTGTGGAGAAGAAGGAATTAACAACCCCCCCACAATCCCACTTCTCTCTGACTTTAAATAACAGCAACTGCTTAAACACGACACATGCATCAGTTCATTTAATTCTCCCAACTGCTCTGTCAAGTAGATGCTATTATTACCATCCCTGTTTCACAGGGGAGGCAACTAAGGTTCAGAGAAGTTAGGTCACTTGCTCAAGACGGCACAGCCACAAAAAAGGCAGACCTTGAGTTGAACTTGGACAGTCTGACTCGAGAGTCTGTGCCCCTAACCACTGACCCACCATGCCCTGAGTTGGGGGCTGCCTCTTCTGGGAGGGGAACCCTTGCCCAACAGTACGGGAGGGAAGGATTTAAGTTTGCAAGTTCAAAAGGTGAAAACGAAAAGATTCTTTTCCCCAGCTGCCTGAACCAGAGAAAAGAATTACAATTTGATCCTTAAGAGCGCTCGATCCCATTTTGCAAGCCCCGGGAGATATTGATTCCTCGAGAGGTCAGCAGACGAGACATAAAAAAAGCCAACTCTTTTATTTTGTTTCTGTGAGTTCCTGGGAGCTGCTGTCAGCTATGGCCACTCAGGGCACTGACTGGGGTTCCTCTGAGCGTGCAGGGCGCACAGTGCTCTTTCCATGGGGGGCTACAGTCTGTGGGAGCTATCTCTCCCCCTCTCTGCTTTGGTCCTCAGCTTGAAGCTAGTGGCATCCCCTTCCTGCCCTCCCTGCCCCCAGCATCATCCCCTGGAAATCTGAGGTACTCACCATGGTGGACGGACACAGGGCTACTTCCCGAGTAGAATCCCACGCACTGCCCAGCTCTTCCCAGCCTGGGAACAATAAATACTTCCTCCCTGTGTTTAAAAATAACCCCATGACCACTTTTGGCAGTGATAGGTGAGCGGACGCCACCTAAGGCCCCCCCACCCCATGCCGTTCTTCTGAAGTCAGGGCAGCTCACTGGCGGCCACTGCCACGGGGTGGGTGACACGTGAGACCCAAAAATGCATTCAAGGTTAAAGAGACAGCGGCTGGATCATGGGAGAGATGCTGCATGCTTTCCATGGTGCTTGGGCAGGCGACACTTGTGCTTGTCAATTTGGGGAGAGAAAAAGGCAGAGAGAGGAAGTCTCTCTCTGTGTCATGGTTAGCCCTGGTCCCACCTCAGGGGCTTTGCTTGTGGGGTCTCCTCTACCTGGCACACCTTCCTGACAGTCATCTGCAATGCTCTGTCCCTCCCCTCCTTCCCATCTGTACTCACACACACACACACACACACACACACACACCCAGAGGAGCTTTTCTCTGCCAGCACCAGAATGGATGTCTCCCCAGCTCATGGATTTTTGTTAAAGCTCTGGGTGAAAACACAGGAGCTATAAATGGCCAAGAAAAATGGTTGTTGCAGCCACAGGGATGGAGAGGTGGGGAGCCCTGGACATGGGTGAGGATGGGCTTGGGCCCACTGAGGCGGGCAGGTGTCTGGGTGTGTCCCTGAGGGCATCTGTCCAGCGGGGCTATCTCAGGAGGCATTTTACCTTACGGGGCCTGTGGAGAGGTGCTTAGAGCAGAGCTCTGGCTGGAGAGTGGGAGGTGCGGGGTCCTTGACAGGGCGCTGGACCTCTCGGCCTCTGTGTCCGACTGGAACATGAAGACCACAATGGCCCCTTCGAGGCTGCAGCTAGGAGAAGTGGGGTTGCCTCAGGGGATTCTGGGAACACTGCAGCCTGACAAGGGCACCGGGCCACATGTCTGCTGGGCTTGGGGTCCACAGGGGGGAGGAAGGAGCAAAGTGGGCAGCGGGGGGCATCCCTGCCCTCCGGGCTGGTGTGGCCTGAGCACCTCCCCTCTTGACCACAGGCCCTCAGGGCTGGACCCCTGACTGCTGGCTGCCTGTGGGACTCTGAGAGCCAACAAGTTTCCTGCAACCATTCCGGAGTCCAGCTGAGCCCCCCCAAAAAACACCGAGGCTCTCAGAAGCCAGAGAGAACCCTGGCCTGAGCCACCAGAACAGGAACTTCTAGAACAATCAGAAAACAAACCAAGTGTATTGTGACCGATTGCTGCAGTGAAAATGTCGCCAGACGTGGTGGCTTCATACAGCACGTATCTGTTATCTTGCGGCACTGAGGGTCACAAATAGAAAAGGGCCTGCAGGCGGCGCCCCCACTGTGGTTCCCGTGGGGAGTCCTTCCCTTGTCTTCTCCAGCTCCCAGAAACGCCCACATTCCTGGGCTCATGGTCTGCATCATTCCAGTCTCGGAAGCCAACCTCTCTACAGCTGGCCCTCTTCCCTCCCTCTCCTAAGGACTCCTGTGACTGCGTCGGGCCCACCTGGGTAATCCAGGATGACCCCCACCTTCAGGTCCTGGCCTCATCCATCACATCTGCAAGCCCCTTTGCCATGGAGGGTCACATTCTCAGGGCTTAGGACCTGGGCATCAGTGCTAAGAGGAATGGGAAACAGGTCAACAGTGAGCAATGTCAACTACGATGACAAAGCTTTAGTGTATTGAAAGGCACTGATGTGCATGCACATGCACGCGCTCCAACAAAAACAAGAACCAACCCCAAGCCCCACCCCCCAAAAAAAGGTCATTTTATAATGTTTATTTTTTAGGTGTAGTTGGACACAATACCTTTATTTTATTTATTTTTATGTGGTCCTGAGGATCGAGTCTGGGGCCTCGCACATGCTAGGGGAGCGCTCTGCCACTCACTGAGCCACAACCTCGAAAGGTCACTTTTACTGAGTGATAATTTGCAGAAATTATTCATTGGCAAATTTAAAGGAAGAGACTAGGAGATGCCTCCAGCAGTGTAAGGCACGCGTCTCTTTATAAATTACTCCATTTGGGCGTCGTGTTAGAGCAACACAGAGTGGGCTAAGTCAGGGGAGAGGCACAGAGTGGCCTCACATTGTGAGAGAAGGCAGCAGCATGTTAATGTCATTATCTTTAAAAGCCCAAGAGTTGGATAACTCCAGAAAGTAAAATGGAAAAAAAGAAAATCAAAACCAACCAGCCAATGAAAACATCTTGGAACTTCAAGTTCTGCTTTCTACACCAAAAATTAAGTGGGTGAGTTAGAGGGCGGGTTTGTATCTGTTGAAAGTTGAGGAAAATCATGACGAGATGCCAACGACGAACACCCCAGACGCAGAAGCCTAAGATGAGCAGGAACTCGGGGACACGCTCTTCACAGAGGGTGTGGTGGTGGATGGAAAGGCCCCCGAGCTGCACGCTGGAGAAAGTCAGAAAACCCAGGCCAGGGTCAGTCCTGGCAGCATCTACGTACCCCAGGGTCAGGAGAGCATGGGACAGACCTGAGGGCAGGGAGAACACAGCCCAGGGGAAAACTCAAGAGGCCGGGACAGGGAGAACTGAGGGTTCCTACCGCAGGCTGGAAGTCCTGGTCCCCTGCTAGCATGGGGACAGGAGGAGCGATTACTTTTGATTCTCCTTTCCTGTAGCTCAGGGCTTTGTTATTGAATAAGCCATGCCAGCTGAGTCCCGGCCAGCTGTGAATGAAGTTTTGATGTCTGAATTTACAGAGAAGCCACAGAATTCTCCGTTACCCTGGGCCTGACATCGGCCTCCCCTCTTGTCCTTTTTCTGTTCCAGGATCTAATCCAGGATAGCGCATTGGACTTGGCCTTCCAGACCCCTCTCTCTCTTTCTCTCTCTCTTACACACACACACACACACACACACATATCTGTGTACACAAGTAGACTTCTTTTCACACTGATGGTGTCACACCACGTACACAGACACCATCTCACTCCAACAGTGTCACATCACACACCTGAGCACAAATGCACACATACCTCCTGCCCCTGGGTCTTTCCACCCCTGGATGGGCTTTGGCCACCTTCCTGGCAGTTCCTTGCTCCCCTCCCTGGTGGCAGCCACAGGGCCAAGGGAGGGCTGTGAAGCTAGCTCACTTGATATGCACTCAAGCAACAACTGAAAAGGTGCCAAGAGCAATAGAGTTTTTTTTTTTGTTTGTTTGTTTTTTGGTATTTGGGATTGAATCAGGGACACTCAACCACTGAGCCACATCCCCAGCCCTATTTTGTATTTTATTTAGAAATAGGGTCTCACCGAGTTGCTTAGTGCCTCACTATTGCTGAGGCTGGCTTTGAACTTGGGATCCTCTTGCCTCAGCCTCCCGAGCTGCTAGAATTACAGGTGTGTACCACTGAGCCTGGCTTTTTTGCCTGACTTTTTTTTTTTTTTTTTAATTAAAAGAGTCAAAGTAGTCACCATGGGGAACACAGATGTCCCTGTGCTGGTTGGACCATTCAGTGCCCCTTCTGTCTTTCCTTCAGTGCTGGTCGGTGGGAGCCCCCCCTTTTGAGCCCTGGGGCCTCTGAAGGTTTTAAGGCCGTGCTGGGGGCATATTTTAATTCATGCCCTTTGCAGGTACTTTTGCCACGTTAGTTCCCAGAATGTCGTCATTACATTCCACACTCTCAGGGAAAAGGGACCCTTCTCCATGTGACTGACTGTCGAGCACCCAGCAGAGCTAAAGAGAGGAGGGTTACCCTAGGACCACACTGCTTTTGAGATAGCCAGGCACAGGGACTCGGTAGCCTCTGGAGACAACGTGCCGTGAGGCCCGTGTCCCTTTAAGGATGGTGGTGAAGTCAGCCGTCTCCCAAAGAACAAAGGCATACCAGGCTCTGCCAGCCCAAAGCTGCTGTGTGACGACTCTGTCACCAAATGATAGCCTATCTCCTCATGTCAGGGCCCCTGGCTGTCAGGGAGAGCCACCAGTGGGGAGGGCAGCCTCTCCTGCCAGCCAGACGGGCACGACCAGCAGAGATGGGCTAGGCAGGGTTGATGGGCACCGGGCGGCCCAGGTGCAGAGTGGGTGGGCAACTTTGGCCTCCGCACTACGGCTTCCTCATTTGCAAAGCGGACATCCAGTGGGCCTTGCCTCAAAGAACCAGAGTGAGCTGATTAATACCTCTGAAGTTCTAGAATCCTCTGGGCATGGCCATGTTCAGTGAACGTCCGCTCTTACTTCAGGGCACTGGCTGGGACCCTCGCCAAGGGGCTGCGGGTAGAGGAAATAACATGTTCAGATACTAATTCATCTTCTCTCTCTTTTCCCAAGTTCTTTTATTACAATGACTTTGCCCCTCTCTTAGGTTCCCATTCCCAAACCAAAGTCCTCTGGCATCTCAATTCTGCCTCACTGGAGGCCCCTACAATGTCTTGCAAATCTATTGTCCCCCAGGGTGGGAGCTCCCAGTTTGGGGTCTGCCCTCTCCCACCTTTCCACCCCTAGTCCTTCCTGCATGCCCCACTCTGATGCCCCCACTGACGATGACTCCAGAACCCTCCATGGCTCCCCACTGCCCCAGGAGGAAGTCTCTCCTCCTTGGCCTGAAAGTTAAAATCTTACACTTGACCCTGATCTGCTAGAATGGCATGGTGATTGACAGCTGAGTTCTAGGTCAGCTCTTTCACTTCCTTGGTGGCAGGGACCTGGACAAATGCCTTACCTACCTTAAACCTCAGATTCCTCAGTCGCAGCACCCCTAGCCTTGGAAGACCGATGTCACAGCAGACCCACTTACTCTGCCCGGCACCGTTCACAGCACGGTCCCCGTGGTCACTCACGCAGGGAGTGTCAGTGCTGCACAATGCCAGGCACTGTGTCCATGCTATGTGATGGGAGGCATATGGCGGTTATTGCGTGTGGTCATGGCCTTCCCAGCCTTCTCCCTGCTGCAGGCCCCTGCTGCAGAGCTCCTAGGGACAGGGGCTCAGGGCTAGCTGAGTTCCAGGGGACATGAACTGAGTCCTACAAGGGATATTAC